ATCTCCTTTTACCGGCTGTCATGACGGTGTCTCCATTTCCGACTTTGATCGGCACCTTAATGCTCTTGTTGATATTTGAAAAATATCTCTCCTCCTTTGTCATATGGTTAGTGCATCCACTATCTACCAACCATATGTCTTCTCTCGGTGTTGTTGTTCCTTCTTCGCTTGCGGTAAACAACATGTGATCCTCCTCTGATTCTTCTTCCTCTTGACCCATGTGTGCTCTCTCTTTCTTCTTAGAACGACACACGTTTGAGTAGTGACCAACCTTGCCACAATTGTAACATTCTTTGTTACTCTTTTGATCTTTCCTTTGATCATTCTTCTTCGATTTCTTCCAGCATTCACTCTCTGTGTGATTGCTTCTCTTACAGAACTCACACCATTTTTTGCCTTGATTGACACTGCTCTTGGTGTTGTCTCGTTTGAAACCGGATTCCTTTCCTTTTGTGCGTCAATAGAACGCCCCTTCATTTTTGTTTTCATCTCTTGCAGCCATCCTTGCCTCATGTGCCTTGAGAATGCCGATAAGCTCTGTCATTGTTAGTAGAGTCAAGTCGCGAGTTTGCTCCACAACGCTAACAATGCTATCGAATTTGGCCGGGAGAGAGATGAGTATCTTCTGAATGAGTTGTGCGCTTGTTTTCTTCTCTCCATGATAGGTTAATTGATTCTCCAAATCAACCAACTTGTCGGTGAATGTTTTGACGTCTTCTCCATCGTACATTTTTAGGTTTTCGTATTCTCGACGCAACGTTTGAAGTTTGACCAAACGAACTTGAGGAGATCCTTGATATTCATCCTTCAATGCATCCCAAGCCTCCTTTGACGATGTTGCCGCTGCAATTCGTGAGAATATTTGATCCGTTACGGCAGTTTGCAGAATTTGCAATGCCACCGTATCGTTTGTCGACGCTTCTTCTCTAAGGGTTTTTGCCCTAGCGGTTTCAGGGGTTTCTTCCACTGCTGCCGGTTCGACCGGTACTCCTTCTTCAACCACAGACCATAGCTTCCTGGTCTTGAGAATGGTTGTCATCTTAATGCTCCAGAAGTCATACTTCTCCCCATTAAAGATAGGGATCACTTGATGTGAGGAGCCTTGCATCGTCTCGACTTGTTGCCTTCGACGTATGCGATCACTCTTGCGGTTATTTCTCTTCTACTCTCGTTTCTTTTTTTGTTTGCTTCTCTCTTGTCCTCTCTTAATCGAATCGCTCTGATACCATGTTGAAATGAAAAGAGGTTCTGTTTTAAGAAAGAAGAAAACAGAGCATAAAGTTGTAACTTGATCTTTATTGATAACTTGAAAAGTATTACAACTCGATTGTCACACACAACACACAACACTTTCTAAAGTACTTATAGAAAACAAAACAACGTAATGTGTAAACGAAAGATCACAACTTCTTGATCTAAAAGACACAACCTTAACACAGAACATTTGTGCCTTTTAATCTAGTAACTAACTAATACAAATGTAACTAAGTTATGCGAGATTTGATTATAGTTCAACAGATATGAGGTATGGATCTCTTTCATACAAGCTCTTGATTATCTTCCACTTCAAAATGAAAAACGAAGTTGAATTCTTGACATGCACATACACTATTCTTGCAGGTGAATCCTGATATGGTTGAACGCCTTGAGAAAGTCGGTCTCTCTTTCGCTGCGCAAGATGAATCTGACAAACGCATGGAGGTCTGTTTATATATCTCTAGATTCAAATCTTATTGCAGCAAACAGAAAAACTTTCAGCTTTGACTAACCTCTTATACTGAAACTTGCAGATTATTGAATTTCCAAGCCATCCTTTCTTTATCGGAGCTCAATTCCACCCGGAGCTCAAGTCCAGACCTGGGAAAGCTTCTCCTCTCTTCTTAGGTTAGAGCCCATTTCATCATCAGTTAAAAATATCCAAACTTTATATATCTTTCTCTTAAGTAACCTGAAGTCAACACAAGTCATCTAAACAATCTTTTGCTTCTTATTTCAGGACTCATTGAAGCGTCATGTGGCGAGCTAGAAACAGTCATGAGTCCAGCTTCTGCTCATCAAAATGTGATTAGCAACGGTACAAAGAACGTTTTCGTCAATGGATCTTCCAAGAAAGCTACCAATGGATTGGCTGATGTAAGATATAATAATGGATTCTGCATTGGCCTCTACCCTAGATAGCTGTAGTTCTAGGATCTATGTTCTTCCTCTCTCCACATTAGAGTTTGCTTCGTTTTTGGATTTTGGGTTTGCCTTTCTTTTCTTATAAAACTTAGGATTTTCCTTTCTTTGCATATGATTCAAGCTTTTTCAGGTTCTTAAACATCTGACAATTGCGGTTGATTTCCCCTGGTTTTTTTTTTTTTTTCATCGAAAGGGATTTCATATGATCATATGTACTGTTTGGAACATTTTGTATCTCGATTTGGTCTTGAATGTTAAAGAGACATCTTATAAATAAAACTCAAAACAAAAACATTTAATTCTTTTTCTTGTTACTTATAACAACTTAATTTTTTCCATCAACTTGTGAAATGAAGGAGCTATGAAGAAAATGAGGGAAACGATGAAAGAGGATTTTGAAAAAGAAAATTTTGAGGAATGAAGATTGAAAATTGGAGAAAATATTATTAATGAAATAATAATATGGAAAATTGGAAAATTCACTCAGTAATTTAAACAATCTTGACTCGCAAAATGACTATGTTCGTGACAGTTAAATAGTTGGGATTACAAAAGCAAAAAGTTAAAAGAAAGCTATGCTATGGATTCTGATATGGTTTTTATCTTAAACAAGTAAATTTTACATGCTAACCTAATCTAAAATATCTGTTTATTATTTTCTTTTTATGGATTACTCAATATAAGATACCAAATTTTTGTTTATTACCATGTCCACAAAGGTTGTGAGAATTGAAATTATTGATTCAAACAAAAATACACACTACTGTGACTATTATCAAACTAAGATGTAAAACCCATAACTTATGAACTTCATACTACTTCAAAATAAAAAAAAACTCTTATTCCAAAAATAAAGTTTTCCTACATATTTAAATAAATATTTAAACAAAACAAAATAATATAAAAATTATACAAAACTTTAAAAAAAATTAAAACCCGCGCATGCGGGGGGTGCTCTCCTAGTAATATTAAAACAACTAACTAATAATGAAAATGAAAATTTATAAAAACGAAATTAAAAAAGAAACAATATAAATAGAAAACTAACATAATAGCTATTAAGAAACTAAATAATATTAGAAACGAAAATTTTATAATGGACTGATCTTCTAATATTAAATAGTTTAATTTTCCATGTTTTGTTAGGTAAAAAAATATTAAAAATAAAGATTTCATCATGGAATAATCAAAGTTTCATAAAATAATGAATCGATTAGATTTAGACACAAGTAAATCTTTCTATTTCATATCATGCATTCGAAGTTTTTAGATTTCACAAAGCTGTGTAGTTTGTAAACATAGTGATATCCAAAAATACTATTCATAATGATGCTGGTTACGAAATGATGCTGGTTATCAGTTTGGTAAAAATTTCCTTTTGATTATTGGTTTTACAAAGCTTTGTAAACTGTATTCGAAGTTTTGAGATTTCACAAAGCTGTATAGTCTGTAAACATAGTCATACACCAAATACTCTCCCTAAGGAACATGCTGGTTACAAAATTATGCTGGTTATTGATTGTTGATTTCAGCATAAACTTTCGTTCTGACTGTATTCAAACATTTACAAGCCCTTGTAAATCTTGTTAAATTTTTCTGTTTTTTGCAGACTGATGATGAGTTCACCACAATGATGACGCTTCCTAATAGGCATCATAAGCCAGGGACAGAACCTCACACTATCCATAGCATCACACATCATTCAAACCTGCAATATGTTAATGATGTCAGAAACGTTTTATCTTCAACGGAATTTGCTGTGCTTGAAAATTCTTATCTCAGCACTGTTATCAAGCTTGCGAAAATGGGAAACAGGTTTTCTGCAAAGCTATTCCACTTTTTCATGCAGAGAAGAATCTTGACAAGAGGTCAAGTGTTGTGGTTTTCCTTTGCTGATCAACCAATCAGGTTTTCCCTCAGAGAGTTCTTTCTGACTACTGGGCTTCAATGTGAAGAAGGGGAAGAATGTCGAGAGCCACTGATCAGAAAGGTGGAAAAACCATACTCTTAAATGATGGGAGATGGATTATATGTGAAAGAATTGGTTGAAAGGCTGCAAAGGGATGGGGGAAGGATGAATTCGTTAGAGAAGGTTTCTCTTGGAGCAGCCATCATCAGTGAAGGGATCATTGTGGGAAGAAGTTCAGGGAAAAGGATACCACAGGAAAGGTTGCTGAAATACAGGCATTATGAGGTTTTCTCAAAGCTGCCTTGGGGGAAGATTGGTTATGAAGCACTAAGTGAGAGCATTCTCAAAATGAATGCACATAGTTGGTCTAAGGAGAGATATGATGTGCAAGGATTTGTGTGGGCCATTATTTTCTGGTCTTTTGCAGCTGTTCCAGACTTAGGGATCACTATTGCTACACCATGTGAAACGAGTGCATCCTCTGATCCCTTGTGCTTTCAGTGGAAGTCGGTGAAGTATGGCAGCATGAGTAAAGTTATATTGGTGGAAAAGAGAGAAAACGTGAGCCTTCTTTCGGATGTTTGTTCATTTACAAGGCCTTATAAATGTGGTTTGTTGTCTTTACAAGGGCTTAAAAATCTTTTTCGATTTTGCAGGTTTTGGTTAAAACTATTATAGGCGAGTCAAAAGCGTTTGAGCACTTGGTTCAACAGACACATCCAGACGACAGAGACTTCGATTCAGTGGTCTGTTTGGTGACGCAAGGATATAATATGACCAGAGAGGACTGGGTCAGAGGAGAAATCGACATTTTGGTTGCCTCAGGACAAATAGGCAATCAACAGAGAAGGCAGAGATGTGCTAATCCATGAATCAGCGACAGCCAAAAAATAGATTACCTGATAAGAATTGTTGAGGAACTGACGAACAAGGTCGATGGGATACAAAATATGTTAGAAGAGAAGCCAAGAAAAGAAGGAGGAGAAGAAGAAGAAGAAGAACCTAATAGAGCCGATTGTGAAGATGGTGCTGAAGAAGAACCTAAAATGCCAGATGGGGAAGATGGTGATGGAGCATCTCAGAATGATGAAGAAGATAATTCTATTCGACCAGACACAGAAGCCTATTATGGTGGAGATGATGAATGCACAGCTGATGAAGATACTCAGAAATCTTATGGAGTTGGGTTAGATACAGTGGGAGGTGAAGAGAATGTTGAGGAAACTAAGGATGTTGAAGATACACAAATTACAGAAGTTCTTACAGATGTTATTGGGGATGATGAAGATACCCTAGTTCTAGACATTGGCCAAGAATCAGCAAAAAGAGAGGTACAAAGCGCTTTACAAGCCTTTGTAAAAAATCGACTATGCAATTTTACTAATCTGTGTTTATACACTTATTTATTATAGGTTCCATCTCCATCTCCTAGTTCCAGGTATCTTCATCTCCAAGCTCTAGACATTGGCGAAGAATCAGCAAAAACACAGGTACAAAGCGCTTTACAAGCCTTTGTAAAAATCGACTACTATGAAATTTTATTAATCTGTGTTTATACACGTGTTTATTAAAGGTTGCATGTCCTCCATCTCCTAGTTCCAGAAATCTTCATCTCCAAGCTCTAGACATTGGCGAAAAATCAGCAAAAACACAGGTACAAAGCGTTTTACAAGCCTTTGTAAAAATTGACTTCTATGAAATTTTACTAATCTGTGTTTATACACGTGTTTATTACAGGTTGCATCTCCTCCATCTGCTAGTTCTAGACATCTTCATCTCCAAGCTCTAGAAATTGGCGAAGAATCAGTAAAAAAAAGGGTACAAAGCTCTTTACAAGCCTTTGTAAAAGAGGAATATGAAATTTTACTAATCTGTGTTTATGCACGTGTTTTATTACAGGTTGCATCTCCATCTCCTAGTTCTAGACATCTTCATCTCCAAGTTCTAGACATTGACAAAGAATCACCAAAAACACAGGTACAACAGCTCTTTACAAGATTTTGTAAAAGGCGAATATGAAATTTTACTAATCTGTGTTTACACTCGTGTTTACTACAGGTTGCATCTCCTCCATCTGCTCTAGTTTTATGTACTCCGAATTTCAATCTGGTTTCTGAAGAAAGCATCGAAAATAAGGAAGATAAGGGAGTTGCTGATGGAATATCAGATTTCCAGTGTTTGCAGAAAAAGAAGAAAAGAGTTGAAGAAGCAAGTACAGAGGTTAATGATCTATCGTTTTTGATAACAAGATTTGGTTTTAAAAATTTTTGTGGTGATTTGAGTTAACACTCTTTTGAAATTGTCATTGTAGGGGGTGGAAACAAATGCGCCAATTGCTAAGAAGAAGAAGCTGAGACGAAATGAAGAGCATCCTTTTGAACCAAGAAGAAGTGGGAGAGAACAGATACCTTCGATTCATACTCAGCCACCTTTCACGGCAGAAAGGAAAAAGCATCCAATCTTTCATCCTTTTTCAAAAGTTCAAACGATTCGATTGGAAAAGTTTGATCAATGGAAGAAACTAAAAAAAGCCAAGTAAGTTTCTGGTTTTATATCTATTTTTCAAAATAAGCTATGTCATGCAAAAGTATTTTGTGTTCATGGGACGCTGATTTGTTGTAGGTTGCCTTTAGTCACTGGAGTTACAGTTGATAAATCTTGGTTTGAAGATCTGGAGAAGCCAGGGATGAAGATTTCGAGCCATGTAAGCCTTACAAAAACACAGAGTAGTTTACAAGCCCTTGTAAAACACGTTTTTGATATTGAACTTACATGAAAATGTTTACTGCAGCATATGGAAGCAGGTGTACAACTGCTTAGACTGAGAAAGGAAAACAATCCAGAACTGTTCTTGAACAGGAGAGCCATAATTCTTGGAGTGAAGTTTCTCAAAGATATTGATGACTCCTACTTTGAATTCGTTTCTGACAAAGAAGGTTATCAATTTGAGACCGAGATGGATGGATTGGATGAATTCATCAGCGGTGGAATACTCTATGCTCTTAGGAAAGTTCGTAAATATCTTTGGATTGGATTGCTTTTCGATTTGGAGAAGAGAAAGCTCCATGTTCTGAACTGTGCGGCTGCTACTTTCAGCAAGGAAATGCTACAGCCCTATGTGGATGCCTATGCAGCTGTCATTCCTTACATCATCTGGAAGATCAGCAAAGACAGCACAATAGATGTCAGGCCCTTCAAAATTGAAATTGACTCTAAAGATTTGCCACAGGTAATGTATTTATAATGTTTACAAGCCCTGTAAAGTTTTGTATAATGATGATATTTTGGATGATGCTCTTTTTTTTTTTCGATTTGAAACAGGTGACTAACATTAAAGATTCTGGCGTCTACATTTTGAAGTCATAGAGTGCCATGCCATGCGCATTCGGGATATGAGCAAGCTCTCTGACAAATCGATGAGGGAGATGAGGATGAAGCTAGCTGCTGATATCTTCACAGAGCTAGAGCTTTCGAGAGGATAACGCTTTCTTCTTTATCTTTATTCTGGATATGTGTGTTATGTGTGTTTTTCGCTTTGAAGTTCTTATGAATAGTATCGGATTCTGAAAAGTTGTCATGTGAGTTTCATTTGTCTGTCATTTTGAAAATGGTTGCAAAGAAACTTTACAAAAACATTTTGAAAGGTTTTGCAAGGAAACATTACCAAATCTTGCAAATTTTCTCTAAAAACCTTACAAAATATAACCATTTTGCAAGGAAAATTTTACAAAAAAATCTTGCAAAATAAAGTTTGTAAAGTTTCTCCAGTTAAGAAAAAAAAACTCAACCACAACCATTTTGGGGAGGGGTCGAACCTGCGACAGGAAAGAAGACTGAGATTGTGATGTGTGGCGTGAAACCAGTTGGACCGGGTATATAATTCATTATTAGCTTGGAGATATATACCTTTTAATAGAAGCGCCTTTGAATAGTGTGGCGCTTCTATTACAAAGAAAAAAAGACCCCACTACAATTGTATTGGGGAGGGGTCGAACCCGCGACAGGGCAGAGCACTAGGATTCTGATGTGTGCCTGAAACCAGTTGGGCCTAAATACTAAAATAGTGAGAATCACCTAGTCATACAAATAAATAATCACACCGTTACCTCTTATCAAGTTTGTCAAAATAATTTTGCAAGGTTTTGCAAGAAACATTACCAAATCTTGCAAATTTTCTCTAAAAACCTTACAAATATACCATTTTGCAAGGAAACTTTACAAAAATCTTGCAAAAAAAAAAATACCACATTTGTTAGTTTTGCAAGGTTTTGTAAGGAGATAAAAAGGTTAAAAATGTGAAAAATACCACATTTGCAAGGTTTTGCAAAAGAAGTTTACAAAATCTAACAAAACCTTACAAAGGAGATAAAAGGTTAAAAATGTGAAAAATATCACATTTGTTAGTTTTGCAAGGTTTTGTAAAAGAAATTTACAAAATCTACTTGTATTACAAAGAAAAAAAAAATCCCCCACTACAATTGTTTTGGGGAAGGGTCGAACCCTCGACAGGACAGAGCACTAGGAATCTGATGTGTAGCCTGAAACCAGTTGGGCCGAACAAATAATTAGTTAGTGGGATGGAGATAAGTATTAATATAGTGAAAATCACTTAGTCATACAAATAAATAATCACAGTTTACCTCTTATCAAGTTTGTCAAATAATTTGCAAGGTTTTGTAAAAGGACAAAGGAGGAAAATGTAAGGTTTTTATAGGAAACTTTACAAAGGTTTTGCAAGGAAACATTACAAAATCTTGCAAATTCCCAAATATGTGTTGTGTTTTTTTATGTTCATTTTATCTAAGGTTTGTACACATTCAAGCTTGTGTGATCTAAACTGTCTTTTTGTAAGGTTTTTATAAAGATCTTGTGGGGGTAACAAATAGGACACATTAAAAGATCCGTTATATGATTTACAAGGGTTTATAAACGAAAACTGTAAGAACCTATAAAACTATAAAAATGCAATCTGTATAGAATATGGTAACCAAATATTTGATTACAAAAAGTAAACTCAAAGTTTTTGAAAAAAAAAATAACAGAAAGAAGTTTTACAAAATGAAATAAGACTATAAATGAAAAAAGATTGTATACAAAAGAAGACATGAAAAATCCATCTTGTTTTCGTCCTTCATCGTAGACAAAGGTAGATAAAATCAGATTACAGCTACACATGTGCTTTTGTTGTGTCCACTGTGACCACACCTACTGCATTTGTAACTTTTTGATGTGGTACGAGTCTTTCCAAACTCCCAATTAGAAGGTATCCTCTTTTTCTTCCTCCTGCCACTAGGAATCTTAGTTGTAGGTGGCCGTGATGTACTTGCATTTTACATAGTTTTAGCACATCTTTTATGCATCTTTTGCATAGTTTTAGCTTCCATTTGCATCATATCTTGTTCCTTTTCTCTTCTTATGCATTCATGTTAGTTTTAGGTTGCATTTGCATACATATGCATGTTTGGTCCTTTGAAATAGGTCTTTTGGAGCATTCTGGAGCATATGGGACATGAGGAGCATGGAGGGACTTGGCACATGGAAGCAGCTCAACTGGATACGCAAAGGAAGAAGGGAGAAGCCATCTTGAAGACCAGCTCGACCGTCCACTCGACCAACCGGTCGAGTTCCTCAACTCGACCGGCCAAGCTTCAACTCGATCGAGCTGGAAGTCAAAGTCAAACCCGAAAAATGTTGCTTCCCCCTTGACTTCCTTTGACCCTAAACCTAATCCTCTTGTATTTAAAGGCTCTAAGCCACGAAAAAACCACCAAGCTTTAGATTACTTTTGTTTTAGTTTCTTTTAATTTATTGTCTTTTACTTTTTAGAACTAATCCCATCTTTGTGTTCTTGAAGCTCTTGCTTCTTGAATCTTAGATCCTGGATAATCTTCTTTGTATTTGCACTTGCTTATTTCAATAAAAGTTGTTTAATTTCATCTCCTCTTTCTTATGATGTCTCTTTTATTGCATTTGCTTGTGTTTACATTCATGTGTAGTGAGTAGTTACCCATTAGGGTTTGAGATGGGATAGATTAGAGGTTTCATATGCTTAATCCTTCTAGCTTATGGTCTTAATCTAGATTCTCTCTCTTTTGGATAGATCTTAAGGCTACATGACCACTACCCCTGGCTTGTAAGTCCTTAGGCGACTCCCCACACGAAGTGATGGCATTCGCTGGAAAAGATCCACTAAGAGCTCCAATATCTCTTGCTCTAGACAATAGAGGTCTAAGGGGTTGGATGGATTAGTTTGGGCAATGATCCTATGGCCTCCAAGGTTTGATTCTCACTGGCTAACCCCCTGTTTCTGAGATCATTCCTTGGTTGATAGCCTCCACCTTGGGAAAGGGTTGGCTAGGCATTGAGAAGCCCAATATCAAGAGAAGCCTTGATACAAGGAGTTTTAAGAGCTAGATTGATTAAGTGTAGATTCCTTTGATTGCAAAACCCTGTCTTGAACCCTAATTCTCTCTTTATCTTGTTAAAGTCGTCACCTTTAGCTTTGTTTGTCTCAACTCGTCCCTAAACTCGATCGAGCTGGTACTTTGTCTACTCGACTCGAGCTCTTGGTCGAGCTGACACTTCACTGCTTTGTTTACTTTTATTGCACTGCTTTTCATTTTTTTAGGTTGTTAGTGTTACTTCAAATCTTACTGCTTGCTTGACTTCCTGGTTGTTTCATATTCTCATAGAGTGACAAGTTCCCATTTTGGATTGATAACCCTTTATACTACAACTACTATCATGGTTAAAGGGAATTGTTGACTGTGTTTGTGTTTGCATCTTACCACCTCATCATTTTTCACCACTGTTGCATTCCACCTCATATCTTATCATTTCATCTCATTTCACATCCACACACAAATCTTTATCATCAGGCCGACAAATAATACTAGCAATATTTGCTGGAATCTCCCAATATGCTCGATCTCCAACAGGATAAATGCTCTCTGAATAAGCTTGTATCCACCTAGCAGAGAGTACTATCCAAACAAAAAGAGTAAATTAATCCCACATGTCTATTTATAAAGCCTTGTAAATTTATAACCCCTTATAAACTACAGAGACCAACAAATAAATACTCAGAAGCATTTTGATATTCCTAGAACTTAGAAATCTATAAAGCCATAATCGTTTAAACACACACAGAGAGCTAGAATGAGATATACTTTCGTTTGAGAAAAAGTCATCAACAAAATCGTTTTCATTCAATCCTGCCTTTTTTGCAGCAGCAATGGCATGAGAGCAGGGATATTTCTCTATATCGAAGACACAGCAGGTGCACTGTCTGGTTCCCAAATTGACTTCATGCTTTCTCATATCCCCTTTAACCTCAAACTGATACTTGTTGATGGGACAGACTTCAAATTAGCGTGAAAAGAAATCATATGATTCCTTCATTTTCTTCCCCACAGCTATTGTGACAGCATGCTGATGTTGAATACCTTTCTCATGCCTTTCTTGAAACCATCTTGTCAGAATTGATCTGATCGTATCAAAGAGGCAGACAATAGGGTATTCACGAGGCTCTTTCAACAGAGAGTTTAAAGACTCAGCCAGATTTGAGATCATGATGTTGTAGCGATTAGCAGGTGCATACGCTCTAGACCATTTCCTAACATCAGCACCCACCAGATAATTTCCAACTTCTTCATCTGAAATCATTATCTCATTGAGCAGGTTGTCAAAATCGAACCTTGTATACGCTTTAGCAGCTTCCTTGTACAATGGTATAAGAGGTGTGCCCCTGAAATTTAACTCAATATTCTTCTGAAAGTGGAAACTGCAGATGCCATGATGCGCCAAAGGATAATTAGCCAGGAGAGCATTCTCGATAGATTGTGCACGATCAGAGACGAAAACCAAGTCGCTCTCATCAGGGATAATTGTCTTAAGACAATTCAAAAACCAACCCCACGAGTCGTTATTCTCAGAGTCTACTACACCAAAGGCAATAGGATACATGTTGAAATTGCCATCTTGTACCTCTAAACTTCGCCTTCAGGAATGAACCATCAATACAAATCAATTTCCTCAACAACTTAAAACCTCTGATTGATGCACCAAATGACAGAAAGGCGTACTTGAATTTCCCACCCTTTTCCCTATCAATATAGGTAACAGACCCTGGATTCTTTTCTTTCACCATATGGAAGTAACGAGGGAAATCTTGGTAACCATCCTCAGGAGTACCCCTAGCAACCTCTTGTGCGTGCTCTTGAGCTCTCCAAGCTTTAGAATATGATATGGTAACTGATGTACTTGCATTTTACATAGTTTTAGCACATCTTTTATGCATCTTTTGCATAGTTTTAGCTTCCATTTGCATCATATCTTGTTCCTTTTCTCTTCTTATGCATTCATGTTAGTTTTAGGTTGCATTTGCATACATATGCATGTTTGGTCCTTTGAAATAGGTCTTTTGGAGCATTCTGGAGCATATGGGACACAAGGAGCATGGAGGGACTTGGCACATGGAAGCAGCTCAACTGGATACGCAAAGGAAGAAGGGAGAAGCCATCTTGAAGACCAGCTCGACCGTCCACTCGACCAACCGGTCGAGTTCCTCAACTCGACCGGCCAAGCTTCAACTCGATCGAGCTGGAAGTCAAAGTCAAACCCGAAAAATGTTGCTTCCCCCTTGACTTCCTTTGACCCTAAACCTAATCCTCTTTGTATTTAAAGGCTCTAGCCACGAAAAAACCACCAAGCTTTAGATTACTTTTGTTTTAGTTTCTTTTAATTTATTGTACTTTTACTTTTTAGAGATCTAATCCTCATCTTTGTGTTCTTGAAGCTCTTGCTTCTTGAATCTAGATCCTGGATAATCTCTCTTGTATTTGCACTTGCTTATTTCAATAAAAGTTGTTTAATTTCATCTCCTCTTTCTTATGATGTCTCTTTTATTGCATTTGCTTGTGTTTACATTCATGTGTAGTGAGTAGTTACCCATTGGGGTTTGAGATGGGATAGATTAGAGGTTTCATATGCTTAATCCTTCTAGCTTATGGTCTTAATCTAGATTCTCTCTCTTTTGGATAGATCTTAAGGCTACATGACCACTACCCCTGGCTTGTAAGTCCTTAGGCGACTCCCCACACGAAAGTGATGGCATTCGCTGGAAAAGATCCACTAAGAGCTCCAATATCTCTTGCTCTAGACATAGAGGTCTAAGGGGTTGGATGGATTAGTTTGGGCAATGATCCTATAGCCTCCAAGGTTTGATTCTCACTGGCTAACCCCCTGTTTCTGAGATCATTCCTTGGTTGATAGCCTCCACCTTGGGAAAGGGTTGGCTAGGCATTGAGAAGCCCAATATCAAGAGAAGCCTTGATACAAGGAGTTTTAAGAGCTAGATTGATTAAGTGTAGATTCCTTTGATTGCAAAACCCTGTCTTGAACCCTAATTCTCTCTTTATCTTGTTAAAGTCGTCACCTTTAGCTTTGTTTGTCTCAACTCGTCCCTAAACTCGATCGAGCTGGTACTTTGCTCTGACTCGACTCGAGCTCTTGGTCGAGCTGACACTTCACTGCTTTGTTTACTTTTATTGCACTGCTTTTCATTTTTTTAGGTTGTTAGTGTTACTTCAAATCTATAACTGCTTGCTTGACTTTCTGGTTGTTTCATATTCTCAAAGAGTGACAAGTTTCCCATTTTGGATTGATAACCTCTTATACTTCAATGACTATGATGGTTAAGAGGAATTGATTGATTGTGATTGCACCATACCATTCATCTTTATTCACCCCTGTTTGCATTCCACCTCATTTCATATCACATCCACATAAAATCCTATCATCAATTTGCAACACGTCGAAGTGAAAACAGGTCATTTGGATCACTCATTTGGCCGGAACGTATTTTCTCCCAAGACATGTCCGTTTAGCGCCCAAGTAGAGCCCAGGGAAATTTTGGATAGTCCAAAGGCCCAAGAAACCACGCCCAAGGCCTTGCATCATCTTGGCATTGGCCTAACTCAATCAAGGAGGTTTCCTTGGCCCGAACTCGGCCCGTTCAAGAACTTGGAGAGCAAGCTCAAGCGGCAGAAGAGAAATGGAAACTTTCCTCTTCTTGTCGCGCCTCAACTTTGCCAACCTAGACCCTCTCTCTACCTATATATACTTGCTTGTAGCCTCTTGTTCAAAAAGACACATTCTATTATTCAATAATAAAAAGTTTCGGAGCCACTTAGGTGGTCTCCTTGCTCTTTGATGTACTTGCATTTTGCATAGTTTTAGTACATCTTTTATGCATCTTTTGCATAGTTTTAGCATCCATTAGCATCATATCTTGTTCCTTTTCTCTTCTTATGCATTCATAGTAGTTTTAGGTTGCATTTGCATACATATGCATGTTTGATCCTTGAAATAGGTCTTTTGGAGCATTTGTGGGACGAGAGGAGCAAAGCAGGACTTGGCACATGGACGCAGCTCAACTGGATACGCAAAGGAAGAAGGAGGAAGCCATCTTGAAGACCAGCTCGACCATCTACTCGACCAACCGGTCGAGTTCCTCAACTCGACCGGCCAAGCTTCAACTCGATCGAGCTGAGAAGTCAACAGTCAAACCCGAAAAATGTTGCTTCCCCCTTGACTTTCCTTTGACCCTAAACCTAATCCTCTTTGTATTTAAGGGCTAAAAGCCACGAAAAAACCACCAAGCTTTAGATTACTTTTGTTTTAGTTTCTTTTAATTTATTGTCTTTTACTTTTGAGAGCTCTAATCCCATCTTTGTGTTCTTGAAGCTCTTGCTTCTTGAATCCTAGATCCTGGATAATCTCTTTGTATTTGCACTTGCTTATTTCAATAAAAGTTGTTTAATTTCATCTCCTCTTTCTTATGATGTCTCTTTTATTGCATTTGCTTGTGTTTACATTCATGTGTAGTGAGTAGTTTCCCTTAGGGTCAAAGATGGGATAGATTAGAGGATTTTTATGCTTAATCCTTCTTGCTTATGTTCTTAATCTAGAAATCTCTCTCTTTTGGACAAATCTTAAGGATACATGACCACTATCCCTGGCTTGTATGTCCATAGACGATTCTTGATGGTTAATGTTTGTGTGTGGATGTGAAAAGATATGAAATGAGATGAGTGGAATGCAATCAGTGGTAATGATGGTGGTAAGATGCAAACACAAACACAGTCAACAATTCCTCTTAACCATCATAGTCATTGAAGTATAAGAGGTTATCAATCCAAAATGGGAAACTTGTCACTCTATGAGAATATGAAACAACCAGAAAGTCAAGCAAGCAGTTATAGATTTGAAGTAACACTAACAACCTAAAAATGAAAATGCAGTGCAATAAAAGTAAACAAAGCAGTGAAGTAAGTCAGCTCGACCAAGACTCGAGTCGAGTAGGGAACAGAGTACCAGCTCGATCGAGTTTAGGGTCGAGTTAGCAAAAAAGCTAAAGGTGACGACTTTAACAAGATAAAGAGAGAATTAGGGTTCAAGACAGGGTTTTGCAATCAAAGGAATCTACACTTAATCAATCTAGCTCTTAAAACTCCTTGTATCAAGGCTTCTCTTGATATTGGGCTTCTCAATGCCTAGCCAACCCTTTCCCAAGGTGGAGGCTATCAACCAAGGAATGATCTCAGAAACAGGGGGTTAGCCAGTGAGAATCAAACCTTGGAGGCATAGGATCATTGCCCAAACTAATCCATCCAACCCCTTAGACCTCTATTGTCTAGAGCAAGAGATATTGGAGCTCTTAGTGGATCTTTTCCAGCGAATGCCATCACTTTCGTGTGGGGAGTCGCCTAAGGACTTACAAGCCAGGGGTAGTGGTCATGTAGCCTTAAGATCTATCCAAAAGAGAGAGAATCTAGATTAAGACCATAAGCTAGAAGGATTAAGCATATGAAACCTCTAATCTATCCCATCTCAAACCCTAATGGGTAACTACTCACTACACATGAATGTAAACACAAGCAAATGCAATAAAAGAGACATCATAAGAAAGAGGAGATGAAATTAAACAACTTTTATTGAAATAAGCAAGTGCAAATACAAAGAAGATTATCCAGGATCTAAGATTCAAGAAGCAAGAGCTTCAAGAACACAAAGATGGGATTAGTCTCTAAAAAGTAAAGACAATAAATTAAAAAAAGCTAAAACAAAATAATCTAAAGCTTGGTGGTTTTTTCGTGGCTTAGAGCCTTTAAATACAAGAGGATTAGGTTTAGGGTCAAAGGGAAGTCAAGGGGGAAGCAACATTTTTCGGGTTTGACTTTGACTCCCCAGCTCGATCGAGTTGAAGCTTGGCCGGTCGAGTTGAGGAACTCGACCGGTTGGTCGAGTGGACGGTCGAGCTGGTCTTCAAGATGGCTTCTCCCTTCTTCCTTTGCGTATCCAGTTGAGCTGCTTCCATGTGCCAAGTCCCTCCATGCTCCTTATGTCCCATATGCTCCAGAATGCTCCAAAAGACCTATTTCAAAGGACCAAACATGCATATGTATGCAAATGCAACCTAAAACTAACATGAATGCATAAGAAGAGAAAAGGAACAAGATATGATGCAAATGGAAGCTAAAACTATGCAAAAGATGCATAAAAGATGTGCTAAAACTATGTAAAATGCAAGTACATCAACACCCCCAAACTTGAACTTTGCTTGCCCTCAAGCAAACAAATAGAACAAGAAAGAGATGAGGTTTGAAAACAAGCTGATTCAACACTTAAAAACATGTCCTCAAAAGCGATTTGCTAAATGTCCAACTTAGAGATTCTAGAATGCAACAAGGTGAGAGATATTCATTAAGATTTAACCATGCTTATCAACATCAATCCCACTTCACAGTCACTCAAACAATGCATTCAAATCAGCAAATCCCTTTAACATTCATTAAGCAAAAACAGTGAACCAAAAACATGCAAGATCAATCAACTCATTTGGTTTCAAGGGTTTATGGGTTAAGAGACAAAGAGGGTCTCTTTTGTATGGTGGTTTAGTAACAGGGATCTCTCAAGAAAGTGGCTTTGCTTTGGCAGAAGGCTAAGTGTTAGAACCAAAGATGATGCAAGAACAGCAGCTCGAGCCGCCTAATCCTAACTCGATCGAGTTCAACACTTAGAGCTTTTTAGAACAAAATCCTAACTACCCTTTTTGGCATTTCGCCTTTGAAACTGAGGAGCTTTGCTCACTTTTCTTTTAAGAACTTCCTAGGGAGAGGCTTCTTGAGGTAACATCTAGCGGTTTGGGATTTTCTAAACACTTAGGGAACTTTTCTTTCCTTTTTGACACTTGAGGCTTTGCCTTCTTTTCATTCTACTTAGAACCCTTTTTACTTTCCTTTTTTAACTTCCCAAACCTTTACTAGACCCTTTTTAACACTGCCAACTCCCTGGACTTAACAAACTCTTTTTCCTTTGGGTTTTTCCCAACTTTTACCACTTTTCTGGTTTTTGACACCCAACTCGATCGAGCTCGAGTTGGCACCCCCAAACTTAGCCTGAAAACAATCCCAAGAGAACTAGACAACTAGAACTACTGCCCCTGCCGGTTTAAACACAACACCTTATGCTAAGCAAAGCCAAGAAAGGTTCTCACATTCGCACAAGAGATAATATGGGGTTTGAAATGAAAAGGCTTAGGTTTAAGGTGTGGTAACTGTCTCAAAGATAGAGATCAGCTATCTGGACAAGCAAAGGGATATGAAAAGTAAAGAATGTCCAGATATGTATGTGGTAGCCATGAGTTGAAATCAAATGCAAGCATTGGTAATTAAAGATCAAGTTATGGTTCAAATAGATAGGGAAATGCATCAAATCACAGCAATGGTTGAATGAGATGTGCATGCAGTGATATGATCAAGATAAACATGGTTCTTGCTGCTCAATCAATCTCACCCTAATGCACAAAAGAATCTAAAAACAGGGCACTCAAGAAATCGCAAAAGATGGACAAGTTTTCAAAGTCAAATCAACAATGCAAGTGAAAAATGCAATCCTAAACAAGTCTAACAAATATGAATGCAAAAAGATGAAAATATTTTTGGATTTTTTGAAAATTTTATGATTTTTTTGGTTTTTCTATGCAAAAGATAAATGAAAAACTAAGAACAAAGAAAACAAGGTTAAATCATCTCTTGAACCCTCCCCCAAACTTAAATCACACAGTCCCTTGTGTGAGAAAAATTTAGTGAAAGATTCAAGAGGGCAAAACCAAGAAAAAACAAGAACAAAATGCAAGAAAATATGAAATGGTATATACAAGGGTTGGTGTTTGGATACCTCAGTGCCCCCCAAAGAACTGGGAGGCTAGGTCGTGGTCTGGAGATGGAGACGGCCATCAGGAGCACTCCACTCAACTGGGGTTGCCTCTTGCGGCTCACTCGATCGAGCTTGCTCTTGACTCGATCGAGTTGTGCTTCGAGTTAGCCACTCGTCTTCCTAAAACCTGCTCCTGTGAGACTCAGCCAAGAAAAATCATAAAAGTAAAACGGNAAACCCTTTATTCATCCATCTCGATTTCCACTATTGCTTGTTTCCCCTTTGATTTTTGATTGCATGTGTCCCTTGTGGACTTGTTCTTGATTAATTGCCCTCATATTTCGCCTCTGCTGTATAGTCTTGTTAGTTTGTTTGACCTCACCTCTGTTTTGCCTTTAGAACTTGTTGCATGTGTTAAAACATTGGAATTTGAGTTTGGTATTGGTTAAGATGCTTGATTTCACTAGAATTGCTCATTGTTCCATTTACTTGTTGTTCTTGGTTCAATTTGATTGATTAGCATCCTTTCCAGCTCTTAATTTGAATTAGGTTCGGTTATACTCTGTTTTCACCTAGCTCGATCGAGTTTGTCACTCGAGTTTTTTGACTCGATCGAGCTGAGTGTCGAGTTGACCAAACCGATCATTACAACTCTAATTCTTTGTAATCTTTGATGCATTTCAGGTACTTTAGTGAAGAAACAGTGTAACAGAGATGACAAACAGTGAGGGAAGTCGCGCTTCACAAGGAGAATGGTTGAGGGTGAATCAAGCAATGCAAGGGAGAGAAGGCTTAAAATGCAAGCCGATTTAGCGGCAATGACTCAAAGGATGGAAGAGTCTGATGCAGAGGAGTATGTATACTCTGAGGAGGAAAGTCTGAGAGCGAGAGATTGAGGGAGGAAAGGAGAACCAAGAAGAGGAATGACCCCATTAGTAGTGAGAGTGAGCAAGGAGAGTTTGAGATTGGGGTGAACCTTGTTCAAGAGGAGGGTGAAATAGCTCTCCAAGTGAAGAAGGAAGTGATGAGACTGAGAGTGAAGAGGAAGGAGAAGAGGTGAATCAGTTGGTTGATGAGAGTGAGCAAAGAGTAACCAAGATGAACCTATGGAGGACGTTGAGCCACAAGAGGAGGAGGAAGAACTCCCTATGTACCAAGAGCACTACAATGCTCTCTTCTCCATGGATTTTGTGGAAACAAGATACCCACATGTTGACACAATGAAGGCCCTTGGAATCTTTGAAGATGTGGAGCTAGTTCTCAAGAACATGCACTTGGCCAAAAGCTTCTTCTCTTATCACATGGAATCCTACCAAGGAGCTCTGATGTACTTGCATTTTGCATAGTTTTAGCTTCCATTTGTATCATATCTTGTTCCTTTTCTCTTCTTATGCATTCATGTTAGTTTTAGGTTGCATTTGCATACATATGCATGTTTGGTCCTTTGAAATAGGTCTTTTGGAGCATTCTGGAGCATATGGGACATAAGGAGCATGGAGGGACTTGGCGCATGGAAGCAGCTCAACTGGACACGCAAAGGAAGAAGGAGAAGCCATCTTGAAGACCAGCTCGACCCCACTCGACCAACCGGTCGAGTTCCTCAACTCGACCGGCCAAGCTTCAACTCGATCGAGCTGGGGAGTCAAAGTCAAACCCGAAAAATGTTGCTTCCCCCTTGACTTCCCTTTGACCCTAAACCTAAATCCTCTTGTATTTAAAGGCTCTAAGCCACGAAAAAACAAAGCTTTAGATTATCTTTGTTTTAGCTTCTTTTAATTTATTGTCTTTACTTTTAGCAACCCTAATCCCATCTTTGTGTTCTTGAAGCTCTTGCTTCTTGAATCTTAGATCCTGGATGTATTTGCACTTCCTTATTTCAATAAAAGTTCTTTAATTTCATCTCCTCTTTCTTATGATGTCTATTTCATTGCATTTGCTTGTGTTTACATTCATGTGTAGTGAGTAGTTTCCCATTAGGGTTTGAGATGGGTTAGATTAGAGGTTTCATATGCTTAATCTCTCTAGCTTATGGTCTTAATCTAGATTCTCTCTCTTTTGGATAGATCTTAAGGCTACATGACCACTACCCCTGGCTTGTAAGTCCTTAGGCGAGTCCCCACACGGAAGTGATGGCATTCGCTGGAAAAGATCCACTAAGAGCTCCAATATCTCTTGCTCTAGACAATAGAGGTCTAAGGGGTTGGATGGATTAGTTTGGGCAATGATCCTATGGCCTCCAAGGTTTGATTCTCACTGGCTAACCCCCTGTTTCTGAGATCATTCCTTGGTTGATAGCCTCCACCTTGGGAAAGGGTTGGCTAGGCATTGAGAAGCCCAATATCAAGAGAAGCCTTGATACAAGGAGTTTTAAGAGCTAGATGATTAAGTGTAGATTCCTTTGTGCAAAACCCTGTCTTGAACCCTAATTCTTCTTTATCTTGTTAAAGTCGTCACCTTTACTGCTTTTTGCTAACTCGACCCACAACTCGATCGAGCTCGGTACTCTGTCCCAACTCGACTCGAGTCCTTGGTCGAGCTACTTTTTACCTGCTTTGTTTACTTTTATGCACTGCATTTTCATTTCTTAGGTTGTTAGTGTTACTTAAAACCTATAACTGCTTGCTTGACTTTCTGGTTGTTTCATATTCTCATAGAGTGACAAGATTTCCCATTTTGGATTGATAACCTCTTATACTTAATGACTATGATGGTTAAGAGGAATTGTTGATGTGTTTGTGTTTGCATCTTACCACCATCATTTACCACTGATTGCATTCCACTCATCATTTCATTCTTTTCACACACAAACAAACACATCAGCTCACTTGCGAGTTCTTAGCTTCAATGAGGTACCACATGTATGAGAGAAGATAGAGCTGATTTGGACCAAGGATTGGGATGGATCACGTTCTTGGCTAAGGGAGAGAAGAGAATGGTGACCTTTAGGCAGTTGGAGATCTTGTTTGGGTTCAACTATGGAGAGGGACCAAGTGGAACTTCAAGGAAAAGGAACTCCAAAGGGTTTGGGCTACAATCGCTGATGGAGTGTACTCTTCCTCAAGGTCCAAGGCAGCTCAAATCAGGAGCCCAGTCTTGAGATATGTGCACAAGGCACTTGCCAACACCTTCTTTGCAAGGAAGGCGACCGGGACAATCAACGAGGGGGAACTCAAGTTTCTTGACATGGGAATCAAGCCCATTCTCTCACGCACAAGCGATGGCAAGAGGATCAGGGGAGATAGATCTGACACAGGGAACTTGATGCCTTCCTTGACAGGAAACTTGATGCCTTTCCTTGACCATCTCCTTACCTACAAGATCACAGCCTACAACACTAGACATCAACGAGGGAGGCGCCTAAGTGTTGGAGGGCTCATCACTCCTATCTTGTGTGCTGCTGGAGTGAACCCAACTGATAGAGAGCCACTGAACCAGGTTGGATGGACATCAAGTTTTGCAAGACCAACCTCTCATTGAGCACAAGGAGTTGGATGGGAGGTTCCAATTCAAGTTCACACATCCATTGGCTGGCCCTCCAAGCTTCTCCTGCCTAACCCTGAGCTCACCACAGTAGTAAGGGGTGAGAACATTGACTTCAGACCCCCTGTGTACACATTAGTTGGGCTGATGATCTCGAGCTGAGGATCGAGCTGAGGATCGAGCTGAAGATCAGGCCAGGAGAGTGCGGATTTGGGTGAGCCTGAGTGCTATTACTTTGAGGAGTATGAGGCTCCAAGGATGAACCCCTCTGTTGTGGCTGCCCACAAGAGGATTGGACTTCTCCAAAAGTTCAACAAATGGCAAGGGAAAGCCATTGAGAAGATGCAAAAGTCCATGGACAAGATGGTGAGCAAGATCAAAAGTTTGGAGAAGAAGGTTTCTGGTTCTTCAAGCAAGAAGAAGAAGTCCAAGGCCCCCACATTCCCTAGGAGTAGATCTCCTCACCACTCCAAGGAGGCTCCCTGCCCAAGAGCCTCACAGAGCCTCTTCTTTCGAGCCAAGGGAAGGAGAAGACAACACGCAGAGAAGGAGGAAGACTTCCAAGGCCAGACGCTCCAGCTCGACCACCGGACTCGATCGAGTCCAAACAGAGGAAACTCAACTCGATCGAGCTGACGGTCGAGTTGACCTGGAGGAGCCCCAGTTTGAGAACCCGGATTCGAGTACGATCCAACGCCAGTACCAGGACTTCCCCAGTAGATGGACCCCTACAACAGTTCGAGCAAGCCACAGCTCCACCAAGGCCAAGGGAGCCACACACATTTCAACGATGAAGAAGAGGAGGAAGAGGAGCCACAAGCTCGATCGAGTGAGCCGCAAGAGGAACCCAGTTGCAGTGGAGTGCTCCTGATGGCCGTCTCCCATCTCCAGACCACGACCTAGCCTCCCAGTTCTTTGGGGGGCACTGAGGTATCCAAACACCAACCCTTGTATATACCATTTCATATTTTCTTGCATTTGTTCTTGTTTTTTCTTGGTTTTGCCCTCTTGAATCTTTCACTAAATTTTTCTCACACAAGGGACTGTGTGATTTAAGTTTGGGGGAGGGTTCAAGAGATGATTTAACCTTGTTTTCTTTGTTCTTAGTTTTTCATTTATCTTTTGCATAGAAAAACCAAAAAAATCATAAAATTTTCAAAAAATCCAAAAATATTTTCATCTTTTTGCATTCATATTTGTTAGACTTGTTTAGGATTGCATTTTTCACTTGCATTGTTGATTTGACTTTGAAAACTTGTCCATCTTTTGCGATTTCTTGAGTGCCCTGTTTTTAGATTCTTTTGTGCATTAGGGTGAGATTGATTGAGCAGCAAGAACCATGTTTATCTTGATCATATCACTGCATGCACATCTCATTCAACCATTGCTGTGATTTGATGCATTTCCCTATCTATTTGAACCATAACTTGATCTTTAATTACCAATGCTTGCATTTGATTTCAACTCATGGCTACCACATACATATCTGGACATTCTTTACCTATTTTCATATCCCTTTGCTTGTCCAGATAGCTGATCTCTATCTTTGAGACAGTTACCACACCTTAAACCTAAGCCTTTTCATTTCAAACCCCATATTATCTCTTGTGCGAATGTGAGAACCTTTCTTGGCTTTGCTTAGCATAAGGTGTTGTGTTTAAACCGGCAGGGGCAGTAGTTCTAGTTGTCTAGTTCTCTTGGGATTGTTTTCAGGCTAAGTTTGGGGGTGCCAACTCGAGCTCGATCGAGTTGGGTGTAAAAACCAGAAAAGTGGTAAAAGTTGGGAAAAACCCAAAGGAAAAAGAGTTTAGTTAAGTCCAGGGAGTTGGCAGTGTTAAAAAGGGTCTAGTAAAGGTTTGGGAAGTTAAAAAAGGAAGTAAAAAGGGTTCTAAGTAGAATGAAAAGAAGGCAAAGCCTCAAGTGTCAAAAAGGAAAGAAAAGTTCCCTAAGTGTTTAGAAAATCCCAAACCGCTAGATGTTACCTCAAGAAGCCTCTCCCTAGGAAGTTCTTAAAAGAAAAGTGAGCAAAGCTCCTCAGTTTCAAAGGCGAAATGCCAAAAAGGGTAGTTAGGATTTTGTTCTAAAAAGCTCTAAGTGTTGAACTCGATCGAGTTAGGATTAGGCGGCTCGAGCTGCTGTTCTTGCATCATCTTTGGTTCTAACACTTAGCCTTCTGCCAAAGCAAAGCCACTTTCTTGAGAGATCCCTGTTACTAAACCACCATACAAAAGAGACCCTCTTTGTCTCTTAACCCATAAACCCTTGAAACCAAATGAGTTGATTGATCTTGCATGTTTTTGGTTCACTGTTTTTGCTTAATGAATGTTAAAGGGATTTGCTGATTTGAATGCATTGTTTGAGTGACTGTGAAGTGGGATTGATGTTGATAAGCATGGTTAAATCTTAATGAATATCTCTCACCTTGTTGCATTCTAGAATCTCTAAGTTGGACATTTAGCAAATCGCTTTTGAGGACATGTTTTTAAGTGTTGAATCAGCTATTTTCAAACCTCATCTCTTTCTTGTTCTATTTGTTTGCTTGAGGGCAAGCAAAGTTCAAGTTTGGGGGTGTTGATGTACTTGCATTTTACATAGTTTTAGCACATCTTTTATGCATCTTTTGCATAGTTTTAGCTTCCATTTGCATCATATCTTGTTCCTTTTCTCTTCTTATGCATTCATGTTAGTTTTAGGTTGCATTTGCATACATATGCATGTTTGGTCCTTTGAAATAGGTCTTTTGGAGCATTCTGGAGCATATGGGACATGAGGAGCATGGAGGGACTTGGCACATGGACGCAGCTCAACTGGATACGCAAAGGAAGAAGGGAGAAGCCATCTTGAAGACCAGCTCGACCGTCTACTCGACCAACCGGTCGAGTTCCTCAACTCGACCGGCCAAGCTTCAACTCGATCGAGCTGAGAAGTCAACAGTCAAACCCGAAAAATGTTGCTTCCCCCTTGACTTTCCTTTGACCCTAAACCTAATCCTCTTGTATTTAAAGGCTCTAAGCCACGAAAAAACCACCAAGCTTTAGATTATTTTTGTTTTAGTTTCTTTAATTTATTGTCTTTTACTTTTTAGAGATCTAATCCCATCTTTGTGTTCTTGAAGCTCTTGCTTCTTGAATCCTAGATCCTGGATAATCTTCTTTGTATTTGCACTTGCTTATTTCAATAAAAGTTGTTTAATTTCATCTCCTCTTTCTTATGATGTCTCTTTTATTGCATTTGCTTGTGTTTACATTCATGTGTAGTGAGTAGTTACCCATTAGGGTTTGAGATGGGATAGATTAGAGGTTTCATATGCTTAATCCTTCTAGCTTATGGTCTTAATCTAGATTCTCTCTCTTTTGGATAGATCTTAAGGCTACATGACCACTACCCCTGGCTTGTAAGTCCTTAGGCGACTCCCCACACGAAAGTGATGGCATTCGCTGGAAAAGATCCACTAAGAGCTCCAATATCTCTTGCTCTAGAAATAGAGGTCTAAGGGGTTGGATGGATTAGTTTGGGCAATGATCCTATAGCCTCCAAGGTTTGATTCTCACTGGCTAACCCCCTGTTTCTGAGATCATTCCTTGGTTGATAGCCTTCACCTTGGGAAAGGGTTGGCTAGGCATTGAGAAGCCCAATATCAAGAGAAGCCTTGATACAAGGAGTTTTAAGAGCTAGATGATTAAGTGTAGATTCCTTGATTGCAAAACCCTGTCTTGAACCCTAATTCTCTCTTATCTTGTTAAAGTCGTCACCTTTAGCTTTGTTTGTCTCAACTCGTCCCTAAACTCGATCGAGCTGGTACTTGTTCTGACTCGACTCGAGTCTTGGTCGAGCTGCTACTTCACTGCTTTGTTTACTTTTATTGCATTGCATTTCATTTTTTTAGGTTGTTAGTGTTACTTCAAATCTATTACTGCTTGCTTGACTTTCTTGTGTTTCATATTCTCAAAGAGTGACAAGTTTCCCATTTTGGATTGATAACCTCTTATACTACATGACTATGATGGTTAAGAGGAATTGATTGATTGTGATTGCACCATTTCATCTTTATTCACCCCTGTTTGCATTCCACCTCATATCTTATCACCTTCATTCATATCATATCACACCCACGTAAAATCCTATCATCAGTTGCCTGAAGAAATAGTCTATGCAGCAGAGGCAAGCAGCAAGCATGGACAATCTAGCCATCACAAGCCAGGAACAAAGATCTACCATCAAACACACCATGGTTTCGCCACATAGCAAACTTCCTTGCAGCTGAATACCCACCACCAAACTTCTTTGGCTACAGAAAGAAGAAGTTTCTGCGTGATGTAAGAAGGTACTATTACTGGGATGAACCTTACTTATACAAGAAATGTTCAGATGGAATGTTTAGAAGATGCATACCTGAGGAAGAAGTAGAAGGAATATTGTTTGCTTGTCATAGTTCTAGCTATGCAGGGCACTTTGCCACTTACAAGACAGTATCCAAAGGTCTACAAGCTGGATTTTGGTGGCCAACTATGTTTAAGGATGCTCATGCATTCATATCAAGATGTGATGCTTGCCAAAGAATGGGAAATATAAGCAAGAGGAATGAGATGCCGCAGAACTTTATACTAGAAGTTGAAGTTTTTGATGTTTGGGGCATTGACTTTATGGGACCTTCCCAACCTCTTTTGGTGACCAATACATTCTAGTGGCAGTTGATTATGTCTCCAAATGGGTGGAAGCCATGCCAGCCCTACTAATGACGCACAAGTGGTCATCAAGATGTTTAAATCCATCATTTTTCCAAGGTTTGGAGTGCCTAGGATAGTCATAAGTGATGGAGGTTCACATTTCATCAACAGAATCTTTGCCAACCTTTTGAAGAAGCATGGAGTTACTCACAAAGTTGCCTCTCCTTACCACCCCTCAAACTAGTGGACAAGTTGAGATCTCAAACAGAGAACTCAAGAGCATACTTCAGAAGACAACAGGAAAGACAAGGAAGGATTGGAGTGCCAAACTAGATGATGCTCTATGGGCATATCGCACTGCTTTCAAAACACCACTTGGTACCACCCCCTTTCATCTTGTCTATGGTAAAGCATGTCATTTACCTGTAGAGCTGGAGTACAAAGCAGCTTGGGCTATTAAGGAGTTGAACTTCAACCTAAAGACAGCAGGAGAAAGAAGATTGATTCAGCTGAATGAGCTTGATGAGATTAGGCATCTGGCTTATGAGAATTCAAAGATCTATAAGGAGAGAACCAAAGCTTTCCATGACCGCAAGATCATCCCAAAGAACTTTGCGCCAAACGACCAAGTTCTACTATTCAACTCAAGGTTGAAACTCTTTCCAGGAAAGCTTCGCTCAAGATGGTCAGGACCATTCAGGATTAAAGAAGTTCGCCCCTATGGAGCAGTGGTACTTATGGGACCCAATGGGAGGAGACTTTACAGTCAATGGACAAAGGTTAAAACCCTACCTAGCTTCCACCACCATACCACAGGAGACCACACTGGCTCTTGGCGACCACCAGATCCTTAGAAGTGCCATACAGTCAAGCTAATGACTCTAAACAAAGCGCTGAATGGGAGGCAACCCATTGAAGGACGGTGCAAGTTAAGTCTGGGACGGTGCAAGTTAAGTCTGGGGGGAGTTTTATTGTGTTACTAATGCATTTTTCTTTCTTTTCTTATGTTTTATTACTTTGTTTCATGTTTTTCTGTTTTATTGAGTCAAAAACCAGTCCGGAAGTTATGAACTTGCTTTGAGAATTGATAGTGTTGTGCTAACAATCCATGACCCTAGAGCAGACATCAGCTAAAGGCACAAGCCTAACAGAAGCTCTTACAGTGGATCGACATGCTAGCTCAGCAAAATTTCTAAGGTAACCAAGCAATCTAGAGTTAACCTCACCCTTAATCAATCTTAATAACTCTTGTCAAGGGGATTGGCATACATGTCGACAGTTCCTTGCTTGATTTTCAATGAGATTTGTCTAATCTTTAAAGAGTTCTCCTCTCTCTCCCATCCCAAATGGTAAGTAATATTTATGAGAAAAAGCTCAAAGAGCACAAGGAAAACAAGTAAGCATGAGGAATGCATATGTCTGTACCTTCATGTCTTATGGAATACCTTATCAAACAAGGAACAAGCTAAAGACTTATCCTGTGGTTGAAAGAAGGGTCAATAGAAAAAATAAAATGATACCCTAGAAAAGTAGGGAGAAATTGACCTTTCAAAGTTCTGATGTGAGAAAGAGAGAGGAAAAGAACTCATTGCACTTCAAAGACAATCTTGGAGAAGATCAAGTGGGTAAGAACAAGTTCAATTGATCGATGTCCCTTGATAAAGAACTCACGCTTTAAATTTATGCAAGAGGTTAGCAATAGAGAGTTTGGATTGCTGGATGAGACTAGTTGGGTTGGTATTGTTCGCTAAACTTGCAGGGTGTATGTGAAGCTAACCTTATGTTGCTATGTTCTTAGTGGAATACAGGAAAGGAACCTTTCACAGGATATTCAAAGAGCAAGGGAGTTCCACGTTTTCAAACCTCTTCACTATTTAGATTCTTTTTGCTTGGGGACAAGCAAAGATCTAAGTCTGGGGGAGTTGATATACCTCTATTTTACATGCTTTTTATACTGTTTTAGTATTGTTTTCTAATGGTTTTTGGCAGGTTTTCTATCTAAAAAGGTAGTTTTACTGTGTTTATAGTGTCTAGAGTCTAAACAGGTGAAATGATGCATTTTGGAGCAAAACCATAGGATTTGCACTTCAAGCCGCTCCATGCACAAGCATCAACTTTAAGAGGGCCCAGAAAAAGATCTACTCAATGGATTTCATCAAGACCAGTTCCCTGCGTGCTCTGATTGAGTTAACTTTCCAACGCAACTGGAACGGCCTCATTTGGATGAGTAGAAAAGGAGTTATAACCAAAAGAGTGAAGACTGTCCAAGCGGCTCTATCGAGGAACCTGATATACCTCTATTTTACATGCTTTTTATACTTTTTATTGTTTTCTAATGGTTTTTGGCAGGTTTTCTATCTAAAAAGGTAGTTTTACTGTGTTTATAGTGTCTAGAGTCTAAACAGGTGAAATGATGCATTTTGGAGCAAAACCATAGGATTTGCACTTCAAGCCGCTCCATGCACAAGCATCAACTTTAAGAGGGCCCAGAAAAAGATCTACTCAATGGATTTCATCAAGACCAGTTCCCTGCGTGCTCTGATTGAGTTAACTTTCCAACGCAACTGGAATGGCCTCATTTGGATGAGTAGAAAAGGAGTTACAACCAAAAGAGTGAAGACTGTCCAGACGGCTCTATCGAGAACAGCGCCCAAACCGCGCAGTCCGGCTGGCCGAGGAACGAACGTTTCACGCTCGGCCAAATCTCATCCGTCCGTCTGAAGTCTCGGCCAAAGTCCAAAACCGTCGGCCGAACGCATCACGACCCGGGAAACTAAGCCCGCGGTCGGCCACGCCACAACCGCTCACGCCAATGCCGCGCACGACCATGCCGCGCGAGCCGGGAAACAAAGCCTCGCGGCCGCGCAACCTGTCTCGCGTACCACGGCCGATGGCACCGTCCGAGCCGGGAAACTACGTCCCGCGTCCGGCCGAGATTTCATCGGCCAATCTTCATCCGTCCGACCACAGCGGCCGACCACAATCCGTCCGGCCACGACCGTTCCGATCGTACTAGCGGCCATGACCCGATTGTCCGGCCGATCGTCCCGACCGACCGTCCAACGCCGCGGTCGACCCGAAGCCCGTTTTGAAGCCCGTTTCATATTTTCAAGCCCGGCTTAACCCTAAGCCGCCTCTAAAAGACCTAGCACTATATATATAGCTTTTTAGCCTCTTGTGAAAAGAGAGCCGCCCTTGTATTTCGATTTCCTACTCTAAGTTTTATTGCAATCATGTTTTCTTCATCTCTATGTGTGTTTGCTTTGATCATGTCTGAGTAATCCACTAGTTAGGTTGCTAGGGTTACTATTCAATGAGTTGCTTGCATGATCTTTGATTTCGATGATTAGCTAGGGATTATATTAGAGTCTTTGTCTCGTCTTGTGCACTTAACTAATGCTGATTGCTTTACCGCGCATCTAGTAATCCGATCTTAGGTTGATTTGAGCCTCGACAGTGTTGTATCATTCGCCGGACATATTCTTTGACAAGCTAGGTTTCTTAGACTGCGAAAGTTGATCTACTATAATCTAGTGAACTGTATCAGAACCTATTCATTCTAAAGCTTGATTTAATCACCTAGGGACATACCAAAAGTTTAGCGACTAGGTAGATTAACAAAGGAGCCGGAGCCTCGAAAGTGGAATGGTTTTATATTCGTGATCTGTGTTCTAGACGGTTCTTAATATCCCAACATCTGATGCGGAGTCAGGTTTTACCAAACTCCTAGACCTCTGCAAGTGCACAGATCGCGGAAGTATGGGTATGGAACACAAGGACTGGCTATTGAGTACACTTTGTAACTATGGATTTTGGATCAAGCTAAAACAAAAGTATTGGTTTGAGGTTGTAATGGTGAACCGAACTAGCAAGTATATAGAGGTTGTAAGCAATAAAGGAAAAGCGCTAGGTCATAGGGGCTATCGCAGAGAAGCAAGCAATGATCAATGAAACAATGATAGATTAATTGATTAGGGATATTGGGATATTAAGAACCATCTAGAACACAGATCACGAATATAAAACCATTCCACTTTCGACGCTCTAGCTCCTTTGAGTTCTCCTTGAAGTCATGTGCTGTCTCATTGGGAAGTCCAAAGAGTTGGCATAGAGCTGAGATGGATATGCGCCCATTGGCATCGCCTATCTTGAAGAGTAGGAGTCCTTCACCAGCTGGTTGGTCTCCATTGTGGTTGGGAAAGGCAAGAGCTACTGTAGAGAGGAACTCCTTGGTGAGTTGTGAGTACTCACTACATTCTAGCTTGAAGAGCTTGCTCAAGCCTAGCCTCCTTATGTACCATGTGACATCATCTCTTATCTTGAGAAGATCAAGGGTTTGGGTGTCCATCTTCACACATGGTTCGATGTTCACCTTCTCCATTGCCTTCTTACTCTTTGGGTCTTGATTTTGTTCTCCAAAAAAGGTTACAAGTGCCCAATCATCTTCTTCTCTTCTTGGAATCTCCACATGTTCTTGACTTGCATCAATGGAATGTGGTGAAGTGGGTATTACTGCTCTAGCATTGGAGCTACTACTCCCTAGCTTGATTTGCTTCTTTGGTGGTTGCATGAATGGGTCCTTCTTCTTCTTCATACTCTCATTTCCTTTTGTCTTTGCCATTGTGTACCTACAAGAGAAAATTCTTGGGGAGAGATATGAGTTTGTGATTAATGCAAAAGAAGAATAAGCTAATTGAGTTGTAATAATGATATGGAATAGAGGAATAACTCAAGGCTTAATCATGAATCAAAGAGACAAAATAGAAATTTCACTTTTTCAAAATCAAATTTCGGATTTTACTGTTCATCCCAAGATTATGGTGCTTAAAATCAAAATTTTCAGCAAATCAAGAGAAATTGAGTTTCTAATCCAAGTAATCACTAGATAAACTAATGAATTGAAGTATGCCCAAGCAATTTCACCTTTGAATAAGGGGTTTGGAATGCCCAATAAGTTTTGTGAAAAACTATTCAATTGTGAAATTAAACTTCAAATTAACTCTAAACCATCTAGGTTCCACCTAGCAAAGTTCATTAGAAGACTATAAGGATGAATTTCAAGTCTAGACAAGAGTTTAGCCCAAACATGAAACTTATTGAGATTTTCGATCTTGCATAAACATAGGATTAGAGTTAGAAGACATACCTTGTGTGTTGAAAAGTGAATAAGGTTAGCAAGAGCAAGTAAATTCCAATTTAGAGTTATGAACAGTAAAAGTTTTGAAATCAAAACTCTTAAAGTTCCTCTAATGGAGTTTAGGGTTTTGGAGAAGAAAGAGAGGTTCTTGTGGTTTTCAAGGGAAAGATGAAGTAAATAAGATCTAAATCCTATCAATTTTCCTTTTCAAATTCGAATTTTGATTGAAAACCGGTTTAAGTTGGTTTAGAATTGGTTAAAACCGGTTTGAATTTAATGAAAAGGGAACTTACCTTGGCTTTGAAAAGTTTGGGCCGATGGCCGATGGTTTGTGTCGCGGTTGAGCGGGTATCATTTTATTTTTTCTATTGACCCTTCTTTCAACCACAGGATAAGTCTTTAGCTTGTTCCTTGTTTGACTAAGGTATTCCATAAGACATGAAGGTACAGACATATGCATTCCTCATGCTTACTTGTTGTCCTTGTGCTCTTTGAGCTTTTTCTCATAATATCACTTACCATTTGGGATGGGAGAGAGAGGAGAACTCTTTAAAGATTAGACAAATCTTATTGAAAATCAAGCAAGGAACTGTCGACATGTATGCCAACCCCCTTGACAAGAGTAATTAAGATTGATTAAGTGTGAGGTTAACTCTAGATTGCTTGGTTACCTTAGAAATTTTGCTGAGCTAGCATGTCGATCCACTGTAAGAGCTTCTGTTAGGCTTGTGCCTTTAGCTGGTTTCTGCTCTAGGGTCATGGATTGTTAGCATAACACTCTCAATTCTCAAAGCAAGTTCATAACTTCCGGACTGGTTTTTGACTCAATAAAACTTTTTGAAAAACATGAAACAAAGTGAATAAAACATAAGAAAAGAAAGAAAAATGCATTAGTAACACAATAAAACTCCCCCCAGACTTAACTTGCACCGTCCCGGTGAAAGCAAATCACATTAAGGTGAGAGGTAATATTCAAAGTAAAAGAAAAATAAAGAAAAATTCATTAAAATAAGATAGGGATAGAAAATGGAGATTTGTAAGTGTCCATTGCACTAAGTACCACTTGAGATGACTATGTGTGGCAGTGAGAAGAACTCTCTTCCTCATCTATGGGGTCATCGCCTTCTGAACCAAGCTCTGAGTCTAGTGAGAACTCACCAAGGTCAGGCTCATATGGCTCTCTAGCGGTGGAAGAAGGGCGAAAGAGTCTCTCCGGTGCAATGTGGCGAACTACGCGGACTAGGCGTGAGATGAAGCGAGATTGGCACTCCACTATCTTCTCCAGCTTGTTAACACGGTCTAGAGCTTGGTGCGCAGCCATGCCAGTAGTGAGAACATGGCGTTCTTGGAGCGGCGTTGAGTCTTGACTGCATGCTGAAGTGTGCGATAGGTGAGCATGGGGAATGATGGTTTCTCACTTGATGGAACATAGAACTCTTCCTCATTGGGCTGGAAAGTGACAACTCCTGAGCGTAGGCTTGGGATGTCTCATGTGGCAGCAAGACAAGGGAAGTGTTGGCTGGACCAATTGGAAACTCATAGCAAAACCGAGTTGGGTCTTTAGTCCAACGGTTTAGGAAGTGGATGTGCTGAAGAGCATGGAGATCCAAAGGGGTTGGCTTGGGTAGTGGCTCATAGTTGGGAATGTCAATCCCCACATGCAGTACTATGGCCGTGATAAGCCTCCCAAAACGAACACAAAGCTTCTTGTTGCCTTCCAAGTCTTTAGCTAGCTTCCTCACATTGATGAATGTCTTGGCAAGTAAAAGTCCAAGGTTGGCCTTGTACTCATGCTTGATGAATGGTGTGGTGAGGATGTAGAACTCATCAGTTGTGACCTTGTTGGCTTCTTGTTTGCATTGGAAAGTGGTGGAGATGAGGCGGTGCACATAGCGAATGGCTGGATGAGTGATTCTAGACACCTTTGACCTTGAAGGCAAGAATGGTTCATTGGCAAAGTGTGTCCAATCAGCAAAGGCAGCTTGTTTCCTCTTTGAGTTCTCCTTGAAGTCATGTGCTGTCTCATTGGGAAGTCCAAAGAGTTGGCATAGAGCTGAGATGGATATGCGCCCATTGGCATCGCCTATCTTGAAGAGTAGGAGTCCATCACCAGCTGGTTGGTCTCCATTGTGGTTGGGAAAGGCAAGAGCTACTGTAGAGAGGAACTCCTTGGTGAGTTGTGAGTACTCACTACATTCTAGCTTGAAGAGCTTGCTCAAGCCTAGCTTCCTTATGTACCATGTGACATCATCTCTTATCTTGAGAAGATCAAGGGTTTGGGTGTCCATCTTCACACATGGCTCGATGTTCACCTTCTCCATTGCCTTCTTACACTTTCTTGGGTCTTGATTTTGTTCTCCAACAAAGGTTACAAGTGCCCAATCATCTTCTCCTCTCTTGGACTCTCCACATGTTCTTGATTGCATCAATGGAATGTGGTGAAGTTGGTATTGCTGCTCTTGCATTGGAGCTACTACTCCCTAGCTTGATTTGCTTCTTTGGTGGTTCCATGAATGGGTTCTTCTTCTTCTTCATACTCTCATTTCCTTTTGTCTTTGCCATTGGTGTACCTACAAGAGCAAATTCTTGGGAAGAAATATGAGTTTGTGATTAATGCAAAAGAAGAATAAGCTAATTGAGTTGCAATAATGATATGGAATAAAGGAACAACTCAAGGCTTAATCATGAATCAAAGAGACAAAATAGAAATTTCACTTTTTCAAAATTAATTTTCGGATTTTACTGTTCATCCCAAGATTATGGTGCTTAAAATCAAAATTTTCAGCAAATCAAGAGAAATTGAGTTTCTAATCCAAGTAATCACTAGATAAACTAATGAATTGAAGTATGCCAAGCAATTTCACCTTTGAATAAGGGGTTTGGAATGCCCAATAAGTTTTGTGAAAAACTATTCAATTGTGAAATTAAACTTCAAATTAACTCTAAACCACCTAGGTTCCACCTAGCAAAGTTCATTACAAGACTATAAGGATGCTAATTTCAAGTCTAGACAAGAGTTTAGACCAAACATGAAACTTATTGAGATTTTCGATCTTGCATAAACATAGGATTAGAGTTAGAAGACATACCTTGTGTGTTGAAAAGTGAATAAGGTTGCAAGAGCAAGTAAATTCCAATTTAGAGTTATGAACAGTAAAAGTTTTGAAATCAAAACTCTTAGAGTTCCTCTAATGGAGTTTAGGGTTTTGGAGAAGAAAGAGAGGTTCTTGTGGTTTTCAAGGGAAAGGTGAAGTAAATAAGATCTAAATCCTATCAATTTTCCTTTTCAAATTCGAATTTTGATTGAAAACCGGTTTAAGTTGGTTTAGATTGGTTAAAACCGGTTTGAATTAAATGAAAAGGGGACTTACCTTGGCCTAGAAAAGTTTTGGGCCGATGGCCGATGGATTTTGTCGCGGTCGAGCGATTTGGTCGGCCAAATTGTTTTGGCCGAGAGATTTCGGCCGAGGCCGATCGTTTGTTTCCCGGATCGACCGGCACGGTCGGTCCGTTCCGATACGAAAATTTCGGCCGATCGCGGCCGTCTTTCCCGGTTCGCGCGTGCGCGAACGTTTTGTCGCGCAAGTAGATGATCCGGCCGAGCACGGCTTATTCCTTCCCGGCTCGACCGTGACGGTCGGCCAGATTGGAATTGCTCGGCCAAAATCTCTTTTGCGCGTCCGCGGCCAATGTTTTGGCGCGGATTGTGTTTTCACACCTTTTTCTCCTTCTATCCTATCTTAAAACAAAGAAAACACAAAAGCAAAACAAAAACTAAGAAAATTAAAGAAAGAAAAGTAAAAGTACCTCATGGGTTGCCTCCCATGCAGCGCTTGTTTTAAGTCTTTAGCTTGACTGTAAGGCTTGGCGCTCAGGAGAAGATGGAGACAAGAGGCATCTTTGATCCTCCAAGTCTTTTCTCCTTGCAATGAGTATCTGGTGGGTGATTCACAGCTGGATAGACAATCTCTCCATGAATGTCCCTTGGCACTACTGCCTTAGGAAAAAGCTTTAGAGTTCTTGTCACTCTCTCCTTGAATCCTTCTAGATTCTCATCAATAAGCTCCTTTGGGAATAGAAGCTTCATGTTGCGGCCAGACCTAGGTTTTCTAACCTTCCTTCTTGGCTTGGCCTCATCTTCAATCTTGGTTGATCCCTTGGGCGGTTTTGGTGTAGGGGCCTTAGTCTTACTCCTTGCTTGTTTGGCAAGCTGCTTGGGCTTAGGAATGGGATCTTCCTTGATTGTTTCTTCAGTTTCTCCTTCTTGGGGTGGCTTCAAAGTAGCTTTCTCCTCTTGGACCATGTCAACAAAAGAGTTCTTTGTTGAACACATAGGGAAGAACATACCCTTGTTCACCTTGTTGAAAGAGATTCTTTGATTGGGGAAATCAAATATGGCACCCACAGTAGACAGGAAAGGGGTTCCAAATATGAGAGGTCTATGGCTACTCTCTCTCATTTCCACAATCTGGAAATCAGTAGGGATAGAGCAATTTCCAATCTGCACCATCACATTAGGCACAAAGCCATAGGGGTTTGTGAGAATGAATCAGCATAGTTGATGGAGATGGATGATGGCTCTATCTTGGTGAGGCCTATCTTGTCAGCTATCCTCTTAGACATGATGTTCACATTGGCTCCTGTGTCACACAAAGATTGCTCAAGAATGTTACCTTTGATGATACAAGGCACACAAACTTTCCTGAGTTATCTGTCTTGGGGATAATCTTTGGGAAGAGTCTTCTCTTTCTAGCTCGATTGGACTCTCTCTCTGGGTAATTCTCTTCAGGCCAAATCATGCAATCAACAGTAGGTTTTGAAAGCATCCATTCTGGAACTTGGTCTTCAAATCTTTCTTCTATGGCGGCTGAGTTGCAAAAGGACTTCTTGGATTCAGCTTCCTGTCTCTTAACAGCTTCCATAGTTTGAGTGACTTGAGTCTCTAGTTTCTTCACATGAGTGGCAACAGCATCATACTTGGTGTTGAGATTGCTGAACAAAGTGTCCATCTTCTCATACATCTCTTTAGTGTTTCTCTTCTGGCCATCCATGATCTGTTGGAGGATTCCTTCAAATCTCCCACCTTGTTGGTTTGGAGGAGCTTGATTTGGTGAAGAAGCATATGGCTCCTTGGGCGGATATGATGATCTCTGCTCATATCCTTGCCTTGGCTGAAATTGACTTCCTTGAGATTGGTAAGGAGGTCTTTGTTGTTGTGGATACCTTGGAGGATACACTTGGTCTTGAGGATTCTCCACATTGGGGTTTCTATAAGACATGTTGGGGTTTGGGCGATAGCTTGGATTGTATCCCTTGTTCCCATAGTTTCCAATGTAGTTCACATCTTCTTCATTGGCTTCATTAGAGAAATCTCCCATGCATTCTCTTGATGAATCTTCATTAGCATCACTCATCCCTTCTATTGCATTGATATGCTTGAGCTGTCCCTTAAGAACTTGAGCCATCATGTTCTTGAGTTCAGTCATTTGAAAAGAATCAGGGGAGCTAGTAGTGGTGCGGCTTGAGCGGTCATAATCAGGACAGTTGTTACAATCACTAGCTGCAAGATTCTCAATAAGAACCTTAGCTTCATCAACAGTCTTGGTCATGAAGTTTCCATTGCTTGCTGTATCCAATGAAAGCTTGTACTTGTGGTCTATGCCACGATAGAAGATGTTCCATAGGTTTCCCTCATTGAAACCATGATTAGGGCAGTCCCTAATGTACTCCTTGAATCGATCTAGCGCCTCATAGAAAGATTCATTGTTGCTTGGCGAAAGTGGAGATCTTGTTTCTCACAGAAATTGATCTCTGTTTGGTGTAGAAGTGGTTGATGAATGCAGCCTTGTACTCATCCCAAGTGGTGATGGAGTGAGCTGGCAGAGACTTCAACCATCTTGAAGCTTTGTCGCCAAGAGAGAATGAAAAGAGCTTGCACTTAAGGTAGTCAGCAGAGACTCCATTGGATCTTGTAGTGCTGCAAATTTCTTCAAAGTTTTCTATGTGATCAAGAGGGTGCTCAGCTGGAAGTCCATTGAATTGGTTCTGTCTAACCAATGCAATGATCTGAGGCTTGATCTCATAGTCATTCCTTGCAGGGGTGGTGGATGGATAGGGTTTCTATCCATGAAGAAAGCATCGGCAGAGTCATAGTCTCCGATTGTAGGTGCTCCAGCTTGGGTTGTGCATTCACATCTCCAGCAGGGTCTTGTGGATTAGGAGGAGGAGGAGGTGGATCTCTTCCTTCTTCTTGAGCGCGCGCCACTTCAGCGGCGTGAGCGCGAGCTGCTTCGTCGGCCATCTCTTGGGCTTTCTGCTTCCTAAGTTGCTTCTCAAGCTTGTCTATCTCTGGATGTTCAACTAGGTTGTCCTTGTTGGACCTCCTAGTCATGCACCTGAAAAGAGTCTTGGAAACAAGTTAAATCAAAAGGGAAAAACAAAAACAAAAGTAAAAATCAAAGAAAAGGAAATCAAAAACTGAAAATTCAAAAGCAAAAGAAAAGTAAAACAGGAAAAGGTTCTAGACTAGATCCTAGTCGAGTTCCAAAGGTACTGCTGCAGTCCCCGGCAACGGCGCCAAAAACTTGATGCGGAGTCAGGTTTTACCAAACTCCTAGACCTCTGCAAGTGCACAGATCGCGGAAGTATGGGTATCGAACACAAGGACTGGCTATTGAGTACACTTTGTAACTATGGATTTTGGATCAAGCTAAAACAAAAGTATGATTGAGGTTGTAATGGTGAACCGAACTAGCAAGTATAACGAGGTTGTAAGCAATAAAGGAAAAGCGCTAGGTCATAGGGGCTATCGCAGAGAAGCAAGCAATGATCAATGAAACAATGATAGATTAATTGATTAGGGATATTGGGATATTAAGAACCATCTAGAACACAGATCACGAATATAAAACCATTCCACTTTCGAGGCTCCGGCTCCTTTGCTAATCTACCTAGTCGCTAAACTTTTGGTATGTCCCTAGGTGATTAGATCAAGCATTAGAATGAATAGGTTCTGATACAGTTCACTAGATATAGATAGATCAACTTTCGCAGTCTAAGAAACCTAGCTTGTCAAAGAATATGTCCGGCGAATGATACAGCACTGTCGAGGCTCAAATCAACCTAAGATCGGATTACTAGATGCGCGGTAAAGCAATCAGCATTAGTTAAGTGCACAAGACGAGACAAAGACTCTAATATAATCCCTAGCTAATCATTGAAATCAAAGATCATGCAAGCAACTCATTGAATAGTAACCCTAGCAACCTAACTAGTGGATTACTCAGACATGATCAAAGCAAACACACATAGAGATGAAGAAAACATGATTGCAATAAAACTTAGAGTAGGAAATCGAAATACAGGGCGGCTCTCTTTCTCAAGAGGCTAAAAATCCATATATATAGTGCTAGGTCTTTCTAGAGGCGGCTAGGGTTAAGCCGGGCTTGAAAACATAAGTTTGGGCTTCAAAAAGGGCTTCGGGTCGACCGCGGCGTTGGGACGGTCGTGCGGGACGATCGGCCGGACAATCGGGTATGTGGCCGAGTCGGAACGGTCGGGGTCGGACGGATCGTGGTCGGCCGGCGTGGTCGGCGGATGAATTGGCCGATGAAATCTCGGCCGGACGCGGGACGTAGTTTCCCGGCTCGGACGGATGCATCGGCCGTGGTACGCGGAGAGTTGCGCGGCCGCGAGGCTTTTCCCGGCTCGCGCGCTTTGGTCGTGCGCGGTCGTGGCGTGGCGTGGCCGACCGCGGGCAATGTTTCCCGGGTCGTGACGTGATCGGCCGACGGTTTGGACTTTGGCCGAGACTTCAGACGGACGGACGAGATTTGGCCGAGCGCGGAACATCGTTCCTCGGCCAGCCGGACTGCGCGGTTGGGCGCTGATTCTCGATAGAGCCGTCTGGACAGTCTTCACTCTTTTGGTTGTAACTCCTTTTCTACTCATCCAAATTAGGCCATTCCAATTGCGTTGGAAAGTTAACTCAATCAGAGCACGCAGGGAACTGGTCTTGATGAAATCCATTGAGTAGATCTTTTTCTGGGCCCTCTTAAAGTTGGTGCTTGTGCATGGAGCTGCTTGAAGTGCAAATCCTATGGTTTTGCTCCAAAATGCATCATTTCACCTGTTTAGACTCTAGACACTATAAACACAGTAAAACTACCTTTTTAGATAGAAAACCTGCCAAAAACCATTAGAAAACAATGCTAAAACAGTATAAAAAGTGGGTAAATTAGAGGTATATCAGCACAGCCGATGACGAAGTTGACCGGGAAGGATGTCCCGTTTGTTTGGTCAGCTGAGTGTGAGGAGAGCTTTAGTCAGCTCAAGGAGATGTTGACTACTACACCAGTGTTGGCGTTACCCGAGCCAGGGAAGCCTTACATGGTGTATACAGATGCTTCAGGCATTGGTCTTGGTTGTGTGCTGATGCAGGAGGGCAGAGTGATAGCATATGCTTCGAGACAGTGGCAGGGCAGTGAGCGTAACCGTCCTACACATGACTTAGAGTTGGGAGCAGTGATCTTCGCGTTGAAGATTTGGAGGTCTTACTTGCTAGGTGAGACAGTACAGGTCTTCACGGATCACAAGAGTTTGCAGCATATCTTCACTCAGCCGATGATGAACGCGAGACAGACGCGCTGGGTTGAGTTCTTGGCGGATTATCAGGTGAGCATTAACTACCATCCGGGCAAGGCTAACCTAGTGGCGGACGCGTTGAGTAGACGGAGGTATGATTCCGCAGTTGAGCGAGATGTGGAGTCTCTAGTTGGCGAGATCAGTACCTTGCGTTTGTGTGCCATTTCGCAGGAGCCTTTGGGTTTAGAGGCAGTGGATCAGGCGGATCTACTTAGCAGGATCAGAGTTGCTCAGCAGAGTGATCAGAGTTTGCTAGATGCGACGAGAGTGACTGGTTCTGAGTATGAGGTCTCTGCGAATGGGACTATCTTGGTTCGTGGGCGAGTTTGTGTGCCTAAGGATGTGGAGTTGAGACATCAGATTTTGGGAGAGGCTCACGCGAGCAAGTTTTCCATTCATCCGGGAGCGACCAAGATGTACCATGACCTCAAGAGGTACTATCATTGGGTCGGGATGAAGAGGGATGTAGCAGACTGGGTTGCGAAGTGCAACACTTGTGCCTTGGTGAAGGCAGAGCATCAGGTTCCGGGTGGTCTTTTGCAGAGTTTACCCATTCCAGAGTGGAAGTGGGACAGGATTACGATGGATTTCGTGGTTGGACTACCTGTTTCGAGGACTTTCGATGCTATTGGGTGATTGTGGATCGGTTGACTAAGTCCGCACATTTCTTGGCCATCAAGAAGACAGATGGAGCTGCTGTCTTGGCTAGGAAGTTTGTGCGAGAGATTGTGAGGCTGCATGGAGTGCCAGCTAGTATTGTGTCAGACCGTGATCCCAGATTCACTTCAGAGTTTTGGAGGGCGTTTCAGGCAGAGATGGGCACTAAGGTGCATCTGAGTACAGCTTATCATCCGCAGACAGATGGTCAGTCAGAGAGGACTATTCAGACTTTGGAGGATTTGCTGAGGATGTGTGTGTTGGATTGGGGTGGCCATTGGGCAGATCACCTGAGCTTAGTTGAGTTTGCATACAACAACAGCTTTCAGGCGAGTATTGGCATGGCTCCATTTCGAGGCTTTGTATGGGAGGCCATGTAGGACACCCCTATGCTGGACCCAAGTGGGGGAGCGCAGCATGTATGGAGCTACGTATGTTCATGAGACGATAGAGAAGGTTTGATATGATCATGGAGGAGGTTGCTGGGAACTTGGACCAGGAAGCAGCTGGAGAGCTTGTAGCAGAGGAGGAGCAGCTTGAACCTGAGGAAACTTTGGAAGCCTTGACCTTACCAACTGGTCCCATCACAAGGTCCCAGACTAAGATGCTCAACCAAGACATTGGAAGAGTACTTAGCCGTTTGAGTCGGCATGATCAGGAGCTTAAACATTCCACTTTGGTTTGTTTGAGAGCCCAACACTTGGGATAAAGAAGCAAGTGGATTTTAGTGTGCTCTTTTTCCCTGCCAAGGTTTTGTCCCTTTGGGTTTTCCTTGGCAGGTTTTTAACGAGGCCTAAAGTCCACTTCCAATCCCTTCTTTGTCTCATGTTGTTTGGGTCCGGCCCATTTCCCTTCTTCAACTCTAAGTCTTGCCGCCCAGGGTCTCTTTTTTATTCAAACTTTGTCTTTAATGTTTGTGTGTTTCCGAGATGGTCATGGAGTCTGTTCCATTGACTCATCTCTCTTCTTCTCTCTTCTCTTCTCTCCTTTATATGTTCTGGACGAATCTCCCTTTCAGTTTATGCAACCTTGAATGAAAAACTTTTTCCTTTGTTTACTCAAAGATCTCTTAGTGTGATTCTAAGAACCCTTTCTCTTGGTGTGTTGAATCCGAGAAATCCCTTTAGATTAGTTGTGAGTTGTATCAACTATTTTAGAGGTGGTGTTGGAGATTCCTTTCCATTGGATCTCTGGTATAGCCATTCAATCCATCCTCATCTATCAATTTCCATCGATCCATTCATCATTTCACCATCTCAATCCATTTCGCCAAGTTCTTTGAATCCATTCACTCCATCGCTACAATTCAACCTCTACTTGCTTCAAAGTGTCGATTCTCTACAAGGGGATTTATCAAGTGGTATCAGAGCCACTTTGAAGCTAAGTGAATCTCTCTTTTGTTTTCGATTTTTCATTTGTGCATCTTTGACAATTGTGACTGTTCATCTTCTGATCTAGATCTGGCCAGTTTCACTTGTTTGCATAATTTTAAAATTGTTGAAATAATTAATCCTGATCATCCTCCATAGATCTATCTATTCACAAGTGTTCACTATTTTTAGAAATTGTTTACATAATTTCTAGAATTTTTCTTGTTTTGTTTCCTTGAACTCTTAACTGCCGAGAGCTTCTGTTAATTTTTCAGGTACTATGGTGTCTGAGAAAGAAGATGAAGAGGAGACGAGCAAGGAGGCTCCCTCAAGCCTCAGTGAGACTGGACTGGAACAACTCAAGAAGTTGATGAGGGATGAGTTTGACCGGAGAGAGCAAATCAAGGCAGGGAAGCGCAAAGAGCCAAGAGATCCGATCCATATATCTGAAGAGGAGCGGAGAGATGACCCTATGGCCTCAAGAAGGATGGCCGATGAGCAAGCCAATGCTTACTACAACAGTGGCCATTCCTCTCAAGGCAGTCGGCGCCGCTCAAGGAGGCATCGCGATGATCCAGACCGCTTGGTCGAAAATCTTGGAGGTTACAAGATCCGGATTCCCCTTTCCATGGCAACAACAATCCTGATGAGTACATGGACTGGGAGAAGAAGTGTGAGTTCAACTTCAACTTACACAACATATCCAACATCAACAGAGTCAAACTGGCGGTCTCTGAGTTCAATGACTATGCCCTAAGGTGGTGGGAACAAGTCGTGACCGCAAGAGAGATTGGTGGAGCTCTTGAAGTCTCTACCTGGGAAGAGATGAAAAGGATCATGAGGCAGAGGTTCATTCCTAGCTATTATCAGAGAGAGCTACATTCTAAGCTCAGGAGGCTCACTCAAGGATCCAAAACTGTTGAGGAATACTTCCAGGAGATGGAGGTATGATAATGAGGGCTAATGTTATTGAGACAGAGAGGCCACTATGTCCAGGTTCATTGGAGGGCTAAACCCGAGATCCAAGATGTGGTGGAGATGCAAAACTGTGTGGCTTAGAGTCTATGCTCCACAAGGCCGTCCTTGCTGAGCAACAGCTCAAGAGAAAGACACCCTCGCGCTATGGAGCTGATCAGCGCAGGCCGATGATCCAAGAGACTCCAAATCCAAGAGACTCCAAACCGGCGTTCTCACCTAAGTCTGAGCCAAGAGGAGTCTTACAGTCAAGACAAGGACAAGAGCAAGACCAGTTCAACCCCTGTCCTAGAGCTCGCGAGCTTAAGTGCTTCAAGTGTCAAGGCTTTGGACACTATGCTTATGAATGCCGCAACAAGAAGATGATGATTATAAGAGACAATGGAGAAGTGGAGTCTGAAGAAGAGATCATTGTCTACAAGCCAGAGCAAGAGCCAGAGCCAGAAGAGTATGAGGCCGTTCCTGTCATGGGAAAGCTCTGGTGGCCAGAAGGATCTTAAGCGCTCAAGTCCAAACCAAAGGAAGCCCAGAGAGAGAATCTCTTCCATTCACGCTGTCTTGTCCAGGAGAAGGTGTGCAGTCTCATTATTGATGGAGGCAGTTGTACTAATGTGGCTAGTGAGGCCATGGTTGAAAAACTTGGTCTTGTGACTCAGAAACATCCCAAGCCATATCAGTTACAATGGATCAATGAGACTGGAGATATGAGCGTGAAGGAACAGGTGCTTGTGCCACTATCCATTGGAAGCTATGAAGATGAGATTTTGTGTGATGTCCTGCCTATGGATGCTGGACACATCATCTTGGGAAGGCCTTGGCAATCTGATAGGCGAGTGATGCATGATGGTTTCACAAACAAGTATACTTTCCTGCACAAGGGGCGCAAGACCACTCTTATTCCCTTAACCCCTCAAGAGGTGTATGAAGATCAAGTCCAGCTGTGCAGTCAGAGAACCAAACCTCAAGCCAAGAAGGAGCCACCCAATCCAATCAAATCCTTGAACTATCTGGTCAAGTCCAAACAGGTTAAAAGTTCTATGTCTTCTGATAAGCCTTTTCTCTTATTTATCTTTAAAGGATCACTTAACCTTCTTGTTGATAATGCACCGGAGATTCCGAGTGAGATGTCTAAGCTTTTACAGGATTTCAAGATGTGTTTCCAGATGATTGCCCAAAAGGATTGCCACCAGTCAGAGGCATTGAGCATCAAATAGATTTTGTTCCTGGATCCACACTTCCAAACCGTCCAGCATACAGAACCAATCCTGTTGAAACCAAAGAACTCCAGCGCCAAATTGATGAGCTTATGGACAAGGGTCACATCCGGGAAAGCATGAGCCCTTGTGCTGTTCCTGTTCTTCTTGTGCCCAAGAAAGATGGGAGTTGGCGCATGTGTGTGGATTGCAGAGCCATCAACAATATCACTGTAAAGTATCGACATCCTATCCCTAGACTTGATGATATGCTTGATGAGTTGCATGGTTCTAGCATTTTCTCTAAATTGATTTAAAAAGTGGTTATCATCAGATTAGGATGAAAGAAGGTGATGAGTGGAAAACTGCATTTAAAACTAAACATGGTCTTTATGAATGGCTTGTCATGCCATTTGGTCTCACTAATGCACCTAGTACATTCATGCGCCTAATGAATCATATCTTGAGAAACTTCATTGGTCATTTTGTTGTGGTTTACTTTGATGACATTTTGATTTACAGCAAGAACCTTGAAGAGCATCTAGATCACCTTGCATCTGTTATGTCTGTGCTGAGAAAAGAGAAATTGTTTGCCAATTTAAGAAATGTACTTTTTGCACAGATAATGTGGTTTTTCTAGGCTTTGTTGTGAGTGCAGATGGAGTCAAGGTGGATGAAGAGAAAGTTGCTGCCATTAGAGAATGGCCGAGCCCTAAGACAGTGAGTGAAGTCAGAAGCTTCCATGGCCTAGCTGGGTTCTATAGGCGGTTTGTCCGTGATTTTAGTACCTTGGCCGCACCTCTGACTGAAGTCATCAAGAAAGAAGTTGGATTCAAGTGGGAGAAAGCACAGGAGGATGCTTTCCAGCTCTCAAGGATCGCTTGACTAATGCCCCTGTTCTTATTTTACCTGACTTCTTGAAAACTTTTGAGATTGAGTGTGATGCTTCAGGTATTGGCATAGGAGCTGTCTTGATGCAGGATAAGAAGCCAATTGCTTTCTTTAGTGAAAAGCTTGGAGGAGCCACTCTCAACTATCCAACCTATGACAAGGAACTCTATGCCTTGGTCCGCGCCTGCAAACTTGGCAACACTACCTCTGGCCAAAGGAGTTTGTCATCCACACAGACCATGAATCTCTCAAACATCTCAAGGGCCACAAAAGCTCAACAAAAGGCATGCCAGGTGGGTTGAATTCATTGAGACATTCCCATATGTCATCAAGTACAAAAAAGGTAAGGACAATGTTGTAGCCGACGCATTGTCCAGGAGGTACACTCTTCTCTCAACTCTTGATGCCAAACTCTTGGGCTTTGAACAGATAAAAGACTTGTATGCTTCTGATTCTGATTTTGCTGAGATTTACAAGTCTTGTTCTAAATTTGCTTTTGGCCGATACTTTAGACAAGATGGGTTTCTCTTCTATGAGAACCGCCTTTGTGTGCCTAATTGTTCTTTGAGGGACTTGTTTGTCAGGGAAGGCACATGGAGGAGGCTTGATGGGACACTTTGGTGTGGCCAAAACACTTCAAGTCATGAGGATCATTTTCATTGGCCGCACATGATCAGAGATGTGGAGAGGATTTGTTCTAGATGTGCAACTTGTAAACAATCCAAATCTAAGGTTCAACCTCACGGTTTGTACACTCCTCTCCCTATTCCATCTCATCCCTGGACTGATATATCCATGGATTTTGTGCTTGGATTGCCTAGGACTAGAACTGGAAAAGATTCTATCTTTGTGATAGTTGATAGGTTCTCAAAAATGGCTCATTTTGTGGCATGTCGTAAAACTGATGATGCATCTCATGTAGCTGCTCTGTTCTTTAAAGAGATTGTTAGATTGCATGGCATGCCGCGCACCATTGTCTCTGATCGTGATACAAAGTTCCTGAGTTATTTTTGGAAAACTTTGTGGTCTAAGTTGGGTACTAAGCTTTTATTTTCTACTACTTGTCACCCTCAAACTGATGGCCAAACTGAAGTTGTTAATAGGACTCTTGGAACTTTGTTGCGCGCCTTGATTAAAAAGAATCTTAAAAGCTGGGATGATTGTTTGCCACATATTGAGTTTGCATATAACCATGCTGTGCATTCTGCTTCTAAGTTTTCTCCATTTGAAATTGTTTATGGGTTTAAGCCCATCTCTCCTTTGGATTTGATGCCTTTGCCTTTGAGTGAAAGATTAAGCACAGATGGAAAGCATAAGGCAGAGACAGTCAAGAGGATCCATGAGCAGGCTAGAAGGAACATTGAGGCCAAAACCAAGCAGTATGCTAAACATGCCAACAAGGGCCGCAAAGAAATGGTCTTTGAAGTGGGAGACAAGGTTTGGATCCATCTGCGCAAAGAGAGGTTCCCGGCCGAGCGCAAATCCAAACTTATGCCAAGGATAGATGGACCATTTGAGATCACCAGAAGAATCAACAACAACTCCTACAAATTGATCTCCAAGGTAAGTATAACATAAGTTCGAGTTTTAATGTTACTGATCTTTCTCCTTTTCTTGCAGATGAACCAGATTTGAGGACAAATCCTTTTCAAGAGGGAGGGGATGATATGATCATGGAGGAGGTTGCTGGGAACTTGGACCAGGAAGCAGCTGGAGAGCTTGTAGCAGAGGAGGAGCAGCTTGAACCTGAGGAAGCTTTGGAAGCCTTGACCTTACCAACTGGTCCCATCACAAGGTCCCAGACTAAGATGCTCAACCAAGACATTGGAAGAGTACTTAGCCGTTTGAGTCGGCATGATCAGGAGCTTAAACATTCCACTTTGGTTTGTTTGAGAGCCCAACACTTGGGATAAAGAAGCAAGTGGATTTTAGTGTGCTCTTTTTCCCTGCCAAGGTTTTGTCCCTTTGGGTTTTCCTTGGCAGGTTTTTAACGAGGCCTAAAGTCCACTTCCAATCCCTTCTTTGTCTCATGTTGTTTGGGTCCGGCCCATTTCCCTTCTTCAACTCTAAGTCTTGCCGCCCAGGGTCTCTTTTTTATTCAAACTTTGTCTTTAATGTTTGTGTGTTTCCGAGATGGTCATGGAGCTGTTCCATTGACTCATCTCTCTTCTTCTCTCTTCTCTTCTCTCCTTTATATGTTCTGGACGAATCTCCCTTTCAGTTTATGCAACCTTGAATGAAAAACCTTTTTCCTTTGTTTACTCAAAGATCTCTTAGTGTGATTCTAAGAACCCTTTCTCTTGGTGTGTTGAATCCGAGAAATCCCTTTAGATTAGTTGTGAGTGTATCAACTATTTTAGAGGTGGTGTTGGAGATTCCTTTCCATTGGATCTCTGGTATAGCCATTCAATCCATCCTCATCTATCACTTTCCATCGATCCATTCATCATTTCACCATCTCAATCCATTTCGCCAAGTTCTTTGAATCCATTCACTCCATCGCTACAGTTCAACCATTACTTGCTTCAAAGTGTCGATTCTCTACAAGGGATTTATCAAGGTTCGTGTTGTGAGGCTGCACATGAAGGAGGCTCAGGATAGGCAGAAGAGTTATGCAGATAGACGCAGACGAGAGCTTGAGTTTCAGGTTGGAGATAGAGTTTATCTCAAGATGGCTATGTTGAGGGGTCCTAACAGATCCATAGCAGAGAACAAGCTGAGTCCGCGATTTATGGGTCCGTTTCCAGTAGTGGAGCGAGTTGGGCCATTGGCTTACAGGCTGGAGTTGCCTGAGATTATGAAAGCCTTTCACAAGGTTTTTCATGTGTCGATGCTGAGGAAGTGTCTTCACCCTACAGAGGAGTTAGTGGCTAGGATTCCAGAGGATCTTCAGCCAGATTTGACAGTGCCGGCAGTGCCTGTGAGGATTTTAGAGAGGAGGGAAAAGGTTCTGAGGAACAAGAGGATTCCCTTACTGAGGATTTTGTGGGATTGCAGTGGTTCTACAGAGGAGACTTGGGAGCCAGAGGCAAAGATGAAGTTGAAGTTCAGGAAGTGGTTCGACAAGCAGGTCGAGGAGTGAGCTTATTTCATCTTTGTAGCCTCAGTTGTTATTTTTGGCTTTGGTGTTATTGTATTTTCGTTTTCGTTGTAACGATATACATTTTGGAGTTTTAATGAGATGCAGTTTTTCCTCATTTTGCCTTGTGTTGTGAAATGGTATTTCGGATGTTACACATGTTTGACCAGTTTTTGGTTGTGAGACGGTCTAATCTTATGGTTATAGACATTTTTCCGGAATTTTTACTCTAAGGATTGCGATCCTGAATAACTCATCATGTTTTTGGAGACTTCGTTCTCTGGCAGACTCTCTGGGTGCAAGTAGGCCTCAGTTGAGTGTAGCTTATCTGGGTGCAAGTAGGCCTCAGTATAAGCAGTTTAGTTCATCTGGGTGCAAGTGGGCCTCAGTATGGACGGTTTCGGGTTCGTCTGGGTGCAAGTGGGCCTCAGTGCGGACCGGTGTGGACTTGTCTGGGTGCAAGTGGGCCTCAGTACAAGTTGTTTGGTGTGTTTGGATGATGAGTTAGGAGTGAAATTTTCTTGGAATGTGCTTATGACATAGGATTGACATATGTCTCGGGGATCAGGTGAGGATCTCCAGTGTTGCGGCCTTGCGAGGTCGGGTTTTTGTGGTCTTTGTGACGTTTGTTGGGATTCGAGGACGAATCCAGTTTAGTGGGGGAGAATTGTAACATCCGTAGACCAAAGAATTGTGATTTTTCTTTAGTGTCGGTCGACACCAGGGTGGTGTCGGTCGACACCAATGGTTAAAATCGATTTCTGGTTCAATTTAAGTCAATTGAAATCCGGTTTAGGGCGGAAACCCTTGGGTCTTGAATAAAAGTCGCGCAGCCGCTTCCTCTTTTCTCTGTTTTGTCATTTTGTGGAGAGTTTGGAGAGGAGAAGAGATTTGAGGCGATTTGAGGTGTTGATCGATCGATTCGAGGCTGGTTCGTCGTTGTTTCGGAGCCTGACTCATCGTTGGTGGCTGCTGCGTCGCTGTTCTTCGTGTCCTTCGTCAGATTCATCATCTTCAATCCGATTTCCCCTCTTTTCAACCTAAAATCGAGGTGAGTGCATGACTGTGGGTCCGTGATTGCTAGATTCAGGATATGTATATGTTTCTGTGGTGATTTTGTGATGATATTGATGTTTGTTTCAGTATTTATGGTTGTTTGATTGATTTCCTGTGAATTGCGAATTTCGGGTACTGTTCATAGCCCGATCTGGGTTTTTCCAGAATCGGTGTCGGTCGACACCAGAAGGCTTGTGTCGGTCGACACCAAGCTGGTGTCGGTCGACACAAACCGGTTAACTCTGGTTAAAATTGATTTAATTGGTTTAATTGAAATTGACTGGTTTAAATCAATTGGAAGTGGTTTATCCGAATTGGATTGGTTTAATGTGGTATTTAATTAATTAATTGATTAAATGATTTAAAATAATTATATTAATTATTTTAAAATATGGAAAATTATTATTTAATTTGAAATTATTTAATAATTGAGAAATGAAGTTTTAATTGTTAAAATTATTTAATAATTCGAAAATGGTATTTAATAATTATTGGAGTTTAAAAATATTATTAAATATCTAGTAATTGCGTAAATGGCTCGTAGGCAGAGTGATTGCCTCACTAAGTATTTATTAAATACTTACGCAACTCCATTCCAATGTGTTGCAGGTAAAAGATTTGTGTGATCGCGGAATCAAGGCTGAAGAGGGGGATGATAGGATGTTTAATGTTTTATTGTTTTGCATTTTTTGACTTGCTAGTACCTGGTGTTTAGGTTGCTAGTATTTCCTTTAATTATTTATTTGAATTTATTTGTTGAACCTGATTTATTATTTATTTATTTATTTAAAGACTTCCGCTGAATTGTTATTTAATTTAATTATAAAAAAAAAAAAAAAAAAGTTGGTTGTTTCACGAATTGTAATGATTCCCTAGCTAGTTACGTAGCAACCACAACTTAAGGAACACTCCTCTTCTGAAAATATCCGTATATTCAGTGAATTATCACAGGAAAATATCTAATCTTCAGAAAATCTTCAGGAAATATTTAAAAATCCATGATTAAATGCAACCATCCACATAAACGCAACCCTAAAAAGAAAATCATATATAAGCGGAATCATTCATACGGTTTCAATCACAACTCTCTAAACAAGAAAAGAAACCTAAAAAACAACTTCAATGGTAAACTTTGAGAGACTCGCCATGGTTACACCCAAATGGAGATGATTCGATGATTCGAGTGAGAGTTAAGAACGTGTGGTCTACTCTAGATGTCGAGAATGGTGAAGGGCTCAGTTTCATGGTTGTTGATGATGAGGTTTGTGAATAATTAACCTATACAGTTTAACATTGAGTGATTTTAGATTTAACAAATTTTAATGTTTTAATCTCTACTCATTTTTGGAAACAGGGCACAAGGATGCATGCATTCGTCGAGCATTTCGCTGATGCCAAGAGATTTAAGAGACTTCTTCAGCAAGGAGACTGGTTCACGATAACTGGTTTCTCAGTTGTTATTGTCCGCAATGAGATTCGTATGACTAAATTGAGAAAAGAGATCGTTCTCAAGTGAAACACAGAAGTTGGTGTTTCAGAATTGTTCAATGGTTTTATTCCGCTATATTTGGTTCCATTTCAGGATGTTAAGAACGGAACTGTTCACGACGGAACTTCTTACACTAGAGGTTAATTTTCCTTACTAATCCTATTGTCAAAGAGCAAAACCTTAATATTAAGTAATATCTTTTTGTTAAAGTTTGATATCTTTTTGTTTTCATCTTTACTCACTACAAGAAAACATCGAAATTGAATTCACTTACTTATAACCATTTCGTTTGAATTTGCGTACATGCAGCTTCTCAGGCGGACCAAGTTTGTTACATCCCATATCCGTACGTTAGTAAACCAAGAAAGTGCTGGCTAAATGTTCTTAAAGTTAATCCAAGGGCAAATATTTTGGGGAATTACAAGGATAAAGAACCAACTCTTCTTCAACAAGAAAATGACGACGATGTGTCGACAACAAACGAAGATATCATAATAGATAGTCTGGTGATCAGAGAACATCCAACAGAAGAAATTGATTTTGATGTCGGAGATGCCCAAGGAGAAGATGAATTTCAGTGTAACATATCATCTTCGGATGAAGATGAATATGATGAGGATGGGGATGAGGATGAAGATGTAGATCACACATACTAATAATGCTTTTTATATAATTATTTTACTGTATGTGTGATTAAAATTTCATAAATAATGACTACCTACAATCGCAACCAAATTCATAATAAATAACTCACAATAGTCGCTAATTCGTAGCACAAGTGAGACTGATTTGCGACTCAAGAAGAAAATATATTTAAAAAATCCGTCATTAGTCGCAAAAGAGTCACAAAGCTTTATCACTTTGCGACTGAGTTGCGACTTCAGTTCATTTTTTCATGTCTTAAAGGTTTATGTTATTAAGTTTTTGTAAAATAAGATGCTAATACTACAATGCTTGTTTAACTACTACAAAGAAATCAAAATTTGTTGAAATTATGCTAGGTTTAGGGTTTTGAATATGATATTGCACAATTCTCATTGTTTATCTTAAAATCATATTGATTTGGTTCTAAGTTATTGGAATCTTGTTTTAAGTATTTCAATAATTTAATTTGTACTCAATTATTCATAGATTACACATATTGTGCAACTAAATATAGCAAATATATCATTTAGGGGTTATTTAGGGTTTAGGAAAACCAAATTCATAATAAATAACTCAAAGTAGTCGCTAATTCGTAGCATTTTTGCGACTGATTTGCGACTCAAGAAGAAAATATATTTAAAAAATCCGTCATTAGTCGCAAAAGAGTCACAAAGCTTTATCACTTTGCGACTGAGTTGCGACTTCATTCATTTTTTCATGTCTTAAAGGTTTATGTTATTAAGTTTTTGTAAAATAAGATGCTAATACTACAATGCTTGTTTAACTACTACAAAGAAATCAAAATTTGTTGAAATTATGCTAGGTTTAGGGTTTTGAATATGATATTGCACAATTCTCATTGTTTATCTTAAAAAATCTGTAATTAGTCGTTAATAAGTCACAAAGTTTTAGCACTTTGCGACTGATTTGCGACTTTAATTCTTTTTTTCCGTCTTTAGTCGCAAAGTCGTCGCTTAAGTTGGCGCTTAATATTTCCGAAAATTCCCCAATTATTTCCAATTTTCCGCCTCAAACCCCCAATTTTTTTTTCCTCTATCTCACAAAACCCTTTTCACTTCTCTCTCTCTCTCGCTCTCGAAATCGATCTGTTGCATGTCAAAAATTCGACTGCTTTTCAGCTTCTCGATCGATCCGTTTTGTATCTCCATCTCCTTGCTTTCCCTCTGTCCTCTGAATCTCTACTAAACCTCTCTCGATCGATATCACCCTCTAAATCTCTACCTTTCACTTTTCCAATTTCTCGTTTTTTTCCCCGAATTCGACAAATCTCTCGTTCTCTCCTCAATGGCCGGCTTTGGTAAATCTCAAAAGGGTCGTGGCGGCATAAGCGGTGGGATGGGGTCATCGTCTGGAAGAGCTTCATCTCACACCTCAAACAGTAGTACCCCGACTTCAAATCGCCGTCCCTGCCTATTCAATACGCTCATAGTCAGAGCCCTATTCCGGAGACAATCCCACCGCGTGGCTCGACTCTTGCTCCACAGGCGTCGCCGCGTGGCTCTGCTTCACACCCACAGCCGATCCATCCCCAACCGCTTCGTCCACCGCCGTACGTTCCACCACAGTGGACTCCACCACCGTACAATCCACCGCCGGAAGGTCCAGAGACAGACGCTGAACCAATGGAGGATCAATTCCCGGAACAGGCTCAACCACCACCGCATCAAGATCCACCGATGAGTATCCACGACTTGCTGCAAACACCAGGTCGTGCTGACTATTTACCCATCTTGGACCCTCTTCCCACCGCAAACACAATATGGTAATCCCTAATTAGTTTTCTTTTATAAATTTCTTTGCTTGATTGTGTGTTCTTCTCATCATACAATTGAAATGGCTTTGTGTTTTAATCTCATATTGTAGGTTTGATCGGGATGATGGCAAATTGGTTCGCAAAATATCCAAGATTTTGAAAAGCAAGTTTGATGGTCCATACTACTGCTGGACAAAAACGCCTCCATATGTTCAAGATAGGTGTTTCATAGCCTTTGCGGTATGAAACTAAACCCAATCATTTCCCTAAATATTTCCATTTTTGTCTTAATCAACTAGTTTTTTTTTTGTTAATTTCATTTGTGAAGCAAGCATACCATTGGGATCCCTTGGTCCATTCACTCGTGGAAGACGAATTCAAGGCCATTGCATTGAATCGGATGAAAGACATGGTCTCCAAAGCAAGGACAAAACGGGTTCGACCAAGTTGGATTGGGGAAACATTGTGGGAGAGTATGTGCGCTTACTGGTCCACCGAGGAGGCCAAAGCGAGAAGTTCTACTGCATCAAATGCAATCAAATTTCCGAAAGATGGACTTGGCAAGCGCATACATCGGTCAGGACAAAAGTCCTATTCACGCATTCAGAGAGATATGGTAAGTTCTCCTTTTTGATGCTTGTCTTTCATCTTTTGTTTGTTATTTTTGTGGCTTAGGTTCTTGTGGTGAAATGTTTTGCTTGTGTGAAATATATCTTAATTTGTTTTCATTATGGTCTCTATATGGTGAAGCGAGATTGAATGGACCTAGTATCATTGTCATTGCTTAGGATTGTTAGTTTTGGTTTGACAAAAAGGCATTAGTTTGGTAATGTTTCAGTTTGTTAGTATTTGAGACGGTTTCATTTAATTTGTAATTTGATCTTTTTCTATGAAATTTTTATATGTGATGAAGGAAAAAGAGCTTGGAAGACCGGTGTCAATCGGAGAAGTGTTCATAAGGACACATACACTGCCTGACGGAAGTTTCGTTGATCCAAAGCCTCAGCAGATTGCTGAGACTTATGAAAAAAACTTAGAGGACGAGATGTCTCAGCTTATGGATGACGAAACTGATTGTTCTTCTGAGCTTACCACAGCTGCAAAAGACAATGTCTTTCTCAAGGTCAGTCTCTGTTTTCTTTATGTATGTGTTGCGTTTAATGTACTTGTGGTTACTACTTTGTCATGATATGCATTTGTTTTATTTGCAGTCAACGGTAACAGATGATAGAGGCCAAGAGTTTGGTCTTGGTAGTCTCCGGAGACACTATGGCAACGGGAAGAGGAAGAGAGGGGCAGGGACCTCAACTGTCTGTGCTATTTCGGAGATGCAAGAGCAGTTGCAAGCTGCTCAACGCAAAATTGAAGAGCAGGCAGCGGCTATTGCTGCACGGCAAGTGGAATCAGCTAAGCAACTTGACCGCATCGGCAATCTGGAGATGGTCTTGAGCTAACTGAAGTCAACAGATCCAAAGTTCACCGAATATGTGGCAAGCCTTTCTAACACATCTCCACATGCAGCAACTCCAACAGAGGAGGCAACTCCAACTCCGACTGAGGAAGGTACTCGTTGACCGAGACAACCCAACTGATTTGCTCTCTTCTTTTGTTTTGTCCAACTCAAGGTTTTGATTCGAGTGTAAACATGAGTTTCTTGTGCACATGTTTAGAATCGAAACATGGTTTTGGTTGTTTCTATTGGAAACAAGAACTTGGTGAATGTATTTATTTTTGTTGCACATGTTTTGTTTTGTGTTTTGAATGGAAACATGATTTTCCTTTCTAGTCTATAAATTTTAGTTTTAGCATTCTTTATAAATTTTAGTTTTAGCATTCTTTAAAACTAATTATTTTATAAATCAATTTCACTATTCATGAATTAGAAACGACTAATTAGTCACCAATGTGTATCAAATCTAAGCAACAACTTAGTCACTGCATTTTTCAAAGGAGTCGCAAAGTAGTCACACAAATTTAAGACTTTTTTGCGACTACGGTCAATATTAAGATTATGAAATAATATACGAAAAAATATATATATACAGCAGTCGCAAACGAGTCGTTACATTTAGTCACGTGTTTGCGACCACATCCACAAAAGTCTTTAATCAGACCCAAAAACTAACGACTATATAACGACCGTTTTATCACTACTAAAGAAGTCTAAAATCCGTCGCAAACTATTGCGACTTTATTGCCACTTCTTGAGCGACTGTTTTGAGACTACTGTGCACTCGTCGTAATATTTAACGCGGAGTCTCTCAATAGTCGCAAAAATAAGACTACAGTGTAGTCGCACTTTGGTTTCAAATGTGCGACTAAAAGGCAACTATGTGGATTTGCGACGCGTGATTTGCGACTACTTTGGGTAGTTGCGAAATAGTTTCAACACTTATATTTGCGACTACTCTGCGACATTTGTTGTAGTGGCAAGATCGATGTTTTCTTGTAGTGACATGAATGCAAATGATGGATCTGGTTCTTGTGATGTCAACATGAATGCAAATGATGGATCTGGTTCTTCTGAGGAGCCAATGAACATAGATATACCAACAACTTCTACGGGAAAAAATGAAAGAGGAGAATGTTTTGAAGACTTGCTTGCTGATTTCAATCAAGTCTTATACGAGGGATGTACTAACTTCACTAAGTTATCCTTCATACTGAAGCTGTATCATATCAAATGTATGTGTGGGATCAGTGCAAGGGGATGACGATGATACTTGATTTGCTTAAAGAAGCATTTGCTCATGCGAAACTGCCACAGTCATTTAGTGATATGAAGAAGGTGATTCGCAAGTTAGGTCTTACATCTGAGTCAATTCACGCATGCCCCAATAACTGTAAGTTATACTGGGAAGCAAATGCAGAAAGGGAAACTTGCATAGTCTGTGATGAGTCTAGGTGGAAGAAAAACAATTCTTCTGCAAACAGTGATGGTAAGCTTGGACATCCTAGGGACGGACTGGCTTGGAAAGCGTTTGATATACAGCATCCTAAATTTGCAGCTGACCCAAGGAATGTTCGACTTGGCTTGGCTTCCGATGGCTTCAATCCATTTGGAACAACGAGTTCAAGTTACAGCATATGGCCGGTGGTCTTATTTCCATATAACTTGCCGCCGTGGATATCTATGAAGCAGACATCGATTATTCTTTCAATGATTATTCCTGAAAAGTAGATGCCCGGTAATGATATCGATGTGTATTTACAGCCGCTTATCAAAGAATTGAAATAATTGTGGTTTGATGGGATCAAGACTCGAGTTGCTTCTACAAATGAGACATTTGACATGCGAGCAGCAGTTATATGGACAGTAAGTGACTTTCCAGGTCTTGGAAATCTGTCTGGTTGGAATACCTATACGACATTGGCATGTCCCAGCTGTAACTATGATGCTATCGGACGCCGTTTACAACACGGAAAAAAGAATTGTTTTATGGGTCATCGTCGCTTTCTTCCATTAGATCATAGCTTTCGCCAAAATATCAATGATTTTGATGGAACTATAGAAACTAGACTTCCACCAGTTACGCCTTCAGGTTCTACAGTTATGCAACAAATTGAATCTGTGAATGTTACTCTAGGTAAGAAAGCTGGTCAAGCTGGGAGAAAGAGAGCTTGAAGCGATAATGATAATCAACAGTGGAGAAAAAAGAGCATTTTCTTCGAGTTACCTTATTGGAAGTTCATTGGCGTAAGACATAATTTGGATGTCATGCACATAGAGAAGAATGTGTTTGATAATCTAGTCAACACACTTTTGGATGAGAAAAGCAAGTCAAAAGATAAATTGAATGCTAGAAAAGATCTTCGTGAGCTTGGTATTCGTTCCGATTTATGGCCTGATGACAATGGGAAGTATAAAGCAGCGTGCTTTACTCTAACTGTTGTTGGGAAAGACATTTTTATGAATGTCTTAAAGAGTGTAAAGTACCCGGACGGCTATGCTTCCAACATCTCTATGTGTGTTGATCTTAATAACGGAAAGCTATTAGGTTTAAAAAGTCATGATTGTCATGTGCTAGTGAGAGATTTGGTGCCAATTGCAATTCAGAACTTGCTGCAACAAGAGGTGACATCTGTAGTTGTTGAGTTATGTCACTTCTTTGGTGACATTTCTGCAAGGGTCCTTGATATCAGTGATCTTGATAAACTGCAAGAACGTATTGTGTTGACTTTATGTCAGATGGAGATGTTATTCCCTCCATCATTTTTCACGGTGATGGTACATCTAGTAGTTCATCTCACAGAGGAAGCAAAACAAGGTGGACCAGTCCCATTTCGATGGATGTATCCAATTGAGAGGTGTGGTGATTCATTCATTTTTTTGAAGAAAATATATAGTTAAGCACTAGAGCTAGACTTACGTTTTGTATCTGTTGCAGGATACTTGGACATTTCAAATCGTATGTCCGTAATTGTGCAAAACCAGAAGGTTCTATGTGTGCTCAATATTTGGCTGATGAATGTGTGACGTTCTGCTCAATGTATCTTGATGATATTGAGACTCGATTTAGTCGGGGTAGATGGGTTGATGATCGACCTACAGCTCATAATAGTGGAAGACCAAATTCTGAACTTCATACTATTTTTCAGAATGTTGGTAGATTTGTTGGAGCAGGTGTTGTTCATACTCTTAGTTCAGTAGAGAGACAGCAAGCCCATCGACACATATTGATAAACTGTCAGCTTCTTGATCACTTAAGAGAGTAATACTATCTTGAATTTTGTCTTTCGTTATATTTTTTCAAATATTAGTGACTTAGAAGCTAATAGAATTATGTATATAGGAAATACAAAAGCGAGCTAGCAAGGAAACAATCTCGTCGGAGTAACAGGAGTCGTGCTCTTGATATAGACAGAGAACTGCACCTTAATTTTGCAAACTGGTTGAAAGAGTGAGTAGAGAAGAATGACATTGATGGTATCAATGATGATTTGCGATGCTTAGCTTTAGGTCCAGCAGAAACAGCTATGAAGTATGCAGCTTATAATGTTAATGGTTTCAAATTTCGGAATACAGAGAGAGATGATAATCTAAAAACACAAAACAGTGGTGTTTATGTGGCTGCTGAGACGATGAGTTATGCAAGCTCTCGTGATCCAAATCATAGGTCCGGTGATGTACCTTACTATGGAAGATTGGTTGAGGTTATTGAGTTGAACTACTGATGGCGGGTTTAGATTGCCTCAAATTTTCACAATTTATAAACCCAACTAATGAGCTGCAAGTGCACAGCCGTGTTGTAGTCGGGGTCGAACACGAGGAGGAAGTGTTCTCACTTAACACCTTGTGAGATTGGTTTGTAGCTAGCTCGCAATATGAGGTGGTTTTGGACCTAGAATGAGAAAAAACAAAAGAAATGTGAAGTGAGTTTGTAAACAATTTAAAACAAGAGTTAGGCAAAGGACAATCATATGGAGCAATGATGAAAAGATAGTTGCATGGGATGTGTGTAGAGCCGTCTTGAACATGAATCACTAGTGTATGGTTTTCCACTGTCGTGGCTCCAACCACTATGTTTAAAACAACCTAATATACTCAGCTTTCGTTGGCTATTAGAATTGCAAACATGCATTAAAGGTTCAAGATTCAATTGTTCACAATAAACCATAACTCAGCTTTCGTTGGCTATGATCTATTGCTCACCAAATACTAGTTTTGAGATCTAGATTCAGCACTGTCGTGGTTCTATTTCTCTAAGATCAGATTACTAGATGTACGGTAGAGTAATCATGCATTAAGCTCAAGTAAAGGTGAAGATCCATAAGATAAATCCCAATAAGTTGCAACACAATCAAATCATCACGGCCACCATAGATCTCCTCGGCCTAACTAAGAGATCTACTCGGCCATGATGCAAACAAGCAAGCAAAGCATGATTGTAAACATTATGCAAGTATTAAAAGAGATAAAGGGATGAAGAAAGCTTCTCTATTGATGAACAAAGTCGGATTCTCCCTTGAAAACTCTTAAAATCAAGTTTATAGAAATGGAAACAATGAAAAAGAAAGAACAAGAGTTGAGCGGCGCCTCCTTCTTCTTGGACGATCTCCTAGGGCTTCTCTCTGAACTCTCTTCTCACACGTACACTCTTTGATAATTTCTGACTCTTCTTCAGCGGCTAAAAACATGTATATATGGGCGAAGTCGCGTAGGGTTTTCTTCATGCCGGAAAAGGAAAGTTTCCCGTGAGCAAAGCCTTCTTCTCCACGTCGTGTATGGGCCGACATTGTACCAAGGAAAGCTCCAAACATTAGCCAGGCCTCTTCTCTATTCGATCAAGGCCTTTGGCGCTGCTGCTCGGGCCATTAGACACTCCAAATCCTCCATGGGCTTCGTTTACTCGCTTACCGGACATGTCTCGGTAGAAAATAAGTCTAGGCCTCATAGTTGATCCAAATGGCTTCATTCCACTTCGACGTGATGCATGACTCAAGTATCTATCTTTCCATATCAAGATCGTAACTTTTGGACGTCGGGAACTCCTCCGCGCGCGGCCAAACTTCCGAAGCTTCGTTCTGCGCGCTAGCGAGAACTAACACTTGGAGATAAAATGATCTTCTTGACTTGGAAACTTGCATGGATCTTGATTTAGGGCTCTTTTACTCCTTTTTGCATCCTTTTTGATGGTTTCACCTACAAAGACTTCAAATCCCACAAATACAAGAAAACTACCTCTAAAGGCAAAGAATCTTGCAAAAACCGTTTGAAAACATAGGTAATTATATAGTAAAATCATGTAAAATATGGTGAGATCAACTACTATGAGGTTTTCAGAATTGTATTATTCAAGTGTAAGTGGGCTGATACTCGCAATGAACGAGGATTGAAAACGGATGTCTATGGCCATCAGATAGTGAATTTCTCACGTTTATTACACACAGGGGATAATGCACATGATGAGCCTTTTGTATTGGCCTCTCAAGCGAAAATGGTATATTACGTTGAAGATCCCCAAGAGAAAGAGTGGAACTTCGTAGTGCATGTTCAACCTAGAGATGTATATGATATGGGTGATATAGATCCATCTGATGAATAAGAGTGACGCCATCAGCTGCTTAGAATAACCGTCTTTTGTTTTTTGTTTGTCAGACTTGGCTTTTGTCTTTTGTTTATCAAACTTCGTTTTATTTTTTTATTGAATCAATACTTTAACTGATTTATATATATGATATGGTGAATTGTTTATGTTGTTCGGGGATTTTTGCTCTCAAAATGCTTGAGAAAGTATAAATTTAAATGAACTGATGTATTTGTTTCATGTTTAGGATGATGACTTTCACAGAGACGCAAACGCCAGATGATTATCCGGAGTTGGATGAGTCTTACAATTCGCCTCCTGCCCTTGCTCAAGAATGCAAAAGCTTCAAATGGAAAGTACAAGTGATAGGTAATATCAGAAACATTAATTTTATTCTTAGTGTGCTTTCATTACGCATGTAATCTAATTTACTCAAACTTGATGCTTTTAGATTATTTCTATATACCACTAGAGAATCTAAGGTCATTATTTCATAACTAATAATGTGAATAACTTTTTCATGTTTGAGCTATATGCATATAGATTCTGTTGGAATGATTGAAGAGAACATGCTGACAACGAAAGATGTTTGGAAATTGCAAAATCGCCAAGTGATTGTTCACTTTGATGGAGACACTGGACAACCTGATGAAGATTCTGCAGGATTACTTGGATCATGGTTAGGTCAGTTGAGTACTGATGTAAATTTGTTACCCATTAACTACAGTGATGGGAGACTGTTTCCAGCTCACAGGAAATATTTGGCATGGGAAGTAATCAAGGTATTAAATCAGAAATATACATACTTTTCCAGCTTTTCTGAGAATTTCTTGTTGTATATATTACAGCTAACCATAAACGTAATAACTTGTTTCAGGCAAAGTTTTGGTTTGATGACCCGCTCATAAGAAAATATTATGTCATAAGTGTTTTAGGGAGCAGATGCAAGGACCTAAAGTTACGTCTTTGGAGGGATTACCATCTGAATGATCGAACTGAAACCGTAGAGAATCGTCCAACTAATGTGCCTGCAGATCAGTGGCGTGACTTTGTTTACTTTAGGTTCAGCGATAAGTGGAAGGTATGTACATTTTCGCAAACTACATCATATATTATCTGTTAAAATTTATATAACTTTTTAATACCAACACTTGATTTATAGAAAATGCAAGAGAGAAACATAAACAGCCGTAAGCACCATACCATGCCTCATGTATGTGGAAAAAAGAGTTTTGCAAGGAAAAGACGTGCTATTGTAATTAACTAAGTGTTGTTATATATGATATTTGATAATATATGCAAGTGGTAGAACATGTTGATACTAATATCATATATTGATTGTGCATATGTTTTACAAACAGAAAGATAAGACTGGCAGAGTTCCATGCCGAGCAGAGTTCTTCATTGCGACGCGCATGAAGACTGATGGAAGTTTCGTAACCGATGATGCTAAAAAGTGTGCGGTAAGTTTTAGTAATGAAACTTAAAACATGCCCACATTCTTATATCAGTGATGATTTTGTTGAAAACATGTATCAGTTTTGAAGAATAGTTTAGAAGAATATGGTTAGGAGGTTTCTATTAGCATTACTTGTGATGGATGAGAAATTGTTAAAAAATTTGTCGACGGTGGTGTCTTTGCCTTGATTCTGATAAATTTTTGGTCGATGGTGTCTTTGCTTGAGTTAGATCATTGTTAGTGATATGAAGATGTTTATATATCTGTATTGTGTTTACCAGGATCAGCTTACTCCTTTGTTGAACCAAAATTCATCATCTCAAGTTTCAAGCAATGTCGTAGCTAGCTTGAATGATGAATATTCTCAAGTGTTTGGTCCAGAATGCTCAGGAAGAATACGTTGTATTGGTCGCGGACCGACACCTTCAAAATTGGTCAAGCGTACCAACCAAGCAAGATATGAGGCATATCTAACTGCTAATGCTGAAGTTGTTCAAATGAAGACAAAGATGACATCATTGGAAACCCAAGTTGAAAGTTTAACTGGAATTATTCAACAACTGCTTGGAAATAAAACCAACGATCAAATACGACTTTGGTAATACTTTCCCTTGCAAATTATATATGTGGATATACCTTATAGCATAGCTACACAGTTGATGTTTTGAACAAATCATGTAGGAAAGTGCATTGGCTGCTTATGCAAATATACTGAACCCTCGCACTAGTCAGGTATTTACTTATAATGAAGATAGACTGTATAATCCAATGTATGGGTATGATATTAAATGATGTTATTTTGTATCAATAGGGTTTAGGAGATGGAAGTGGTGAAGACTGAAGACCACAACGACCATTACAAGAGTCGTTTATCATGATTATCTAGCTAGTATTATTTACTGTTTTTCTAAGTAGTATTGTAGTTCATCCTTGAATCTGGATTCATTTGGTTTCTCTTTGTGTTTTATACATTTGAACCGTATGCTGGAATGTATTATAAGATTTCATATTTATTAAAATTCAAATTTTATTTTACCAATTTTAAATAATTATTTTCGCATTAAAATCAAATTTTGGCTAAATTTAGAAACAAAATATAACTCATGTCGTTTACAAATGACACGAAAAGCAATTGGAACTATAACATAAAAGTGATACAAAAATCATTATCTACTATCGTATATAAAATTGATACAAAATTAGGATCAATTACATAAATGATAGAAATACTAACATCAGTTATGGCTAAATGATATTACTTATGACATCAATTACAAGAACTGATACTAATTTTCCCATCATTTATCCTAAATGAAACGAATATTAATATCATTTAATTTGAATGATGTTATTTTCAGCATCACTTATTTAAAGCGACACATATTTACATCAGTTACAGTAAATGATAATAATAGTTGCATCATTTGCTAATTATTGATAGAAAGTATTAGAGTCACCACTTCCAAAGTCATTTATACAAATGATGGAAATTCATTTACATCATTGAAGAAATGATACAAACAATTTAATGAAATGATATAACACCCACAATTTCTTGTAGTGTAAACCTAAATCGAACCAAGTCTATTTCTGGACATCATCTATACTATTTAATCTATACTATTAAACTTATAATTATACCCAAAATAAGGAGTCCTAAAATAAGAGTATTGGTTTTCTTTTATGATTTGTGCAACTGAATTAACTTTCCGTACAAACGGAAATAATAAATAGGGGTCATCAAATTTGAAATATTAATTCTATACTTATAACTCACCAAATCAAACCCGCAAAACCACATATTTTGAAACCGAGCAAACCCCGTAAATCTTTAAACCGAATGCGATATACTTATATAATCAAAATATAACTCACAAAATGAAACCGTGAAAACCACATATATGTATGTTATACTGTCAAAACACATTGAAGTCGGTTTGAGCAAGACTGGCTCAGGGTCAGTATCTACCATGAAATTATAACAATTTGTATACATATTTATGTCGTCCAGCACTTATATAATCAAAATGGGAATCTGATGGCGGGTTTAGATTGCCTCAAATTTTCACAATTTATAAACCCAACTAATGAGCTGCAAGTGCACAGCCGTGTTGTAGTCGGGGTCGAACACGAGGAGGAAGTGTTCTCACTTAACACCTTGTGAGATTGGTTTGTAGCTAGCTCGCAATATGGATGGTTTTGGACCTAGAATGAGAAAAAAACAAAAGAAATGTGAGTGAGTTGTAAACAATTTAAAACAAGAGTTAGGCAAAGGACAATCATATGGAGCAATGATGAAAAGATAGTTGCATGGGATGTGTGTAGAGCCGTCTTGAACATGAATCACTAGTGTATGGTCTTTCCACTGTCGTGGCTCCAACCACTATGTTTAAAACAACCTAATATACTCAGCTTTCGTTGGCTATTAGAATTGCAAACATGCATTAAAGGTGATCAAGATTCAATTGTTCACAATAAACCATAACTCAGCTTTCGTTGGCTATGATCTATTGCTCACCAAATACTAGTTTTGAGATCTAGATTCAGCACTGTCGTGGTTCTATTTCTCTAAGATCAGATTACTAGATGTACGGTAGAGTAATCATGCATTAAGCTCAAGTAAAGGTGAAGATCCATAAGATAAATCCCAATAAGTTGCAACACAATCAAATCATCACGGCCACCATAGATCTCCTCGGCCTAACTAAGAGATCTACTCGGCCATGATGCAAACAAGCAAGCAAAGCATGATTGTAAACATTATGCAAGTATTAAAAGAGATAAAGGGATGAAGAAAGCTTCTCTATTGATGAACAAAGTCGGATTCTCCCTTGAAAACTCTTAAGATCAAGTTTATAGAAATGGAAACAATGAAAGAAAGAACAAGAGTTGAGCGGCGCCTCCTTCTTCTTGGACGATCTCCTAGGGCTTCTCTCCTCTGAACTCTCTTCTCACACGTACACTCTTTGATAATTTTCTGACTCTTCTTCAGCGGCTAAAAACATGTATATATGGGCGAAGTCGCGTAGGGTTTTCTTCATGCCGGAAAAGGAAAGTTTCCCGTGAGCAAAGCCTTCTTCTCCACGTCGTGTATGGGCCGACATTGTACCAAGGAAAGCTCCAAACATTAGCCAGGCCTCTTCTCTATTCGATCAAGGCCTTTGGCGCTGCTGCTCGGGCCATTAGACACTCCAAATCCTCCATGGGCTTCGTTTACTCGCTTACCGGACATGTCTCGGTAGAAAATAAGTCTAGGCCTCATAGTTGATCCAAATGGCTTCATTCCACTTCGACGTGATGCATGACTCAAGTATCTATCTTTCCATATCAAGATCGTAACTTTTGGACGTCGGGAACTCCTCCGCGCGCGGCCAAACTTCCGAAGCTTCGTTCTGCGCGCTAGCGAGAACTAACACTTGGAGATAAAATGATCTTCTTGACTTGGAAACTTGCATGGATCTTGATTTAGGGCTCTTTTACTCCTTTTTGCATCCTTTTTGATGGTTTCACCTACAAAGACTTCAAATCCCACAAATACAAGAAAACTACCTCTAAAGGCAAAGAATCTTGCAAAAACCGTTTGAAAACATAGTAATTATATAGTAAAATCATGTAAAATATGGTGATATCAACTCCCCCAGACTTAGCCTTTTGCTTGTCCCCAAGCAAACTAAGCAGGAAAAGAGGTTTGAAAACGTGAGAACTCTCAAATCTTTTGGAAATCCAAATTGACTTATGCTTTAGTAATCCACATGAAACCATACATTCCTATTGATCACATTGACAAGTTCCAGACTGTCATTTTCAAACCATACATTCCTCAGCCCTCTACTCCAAATCCGTTGTGTGACATAGAGGAATCCCATCGCTTCTGCTTGTAATGATGAACTAACCTGCGGTAATCTAGACCATCCTGATTCCATATACTGTCCTCCAGCATCTCTTATGATCCATCCCACTCCCATATACTCTGAATCTATTAGAAAGGTACTATCAAAATTGCATTTTAACCAACCTGACTGTGGCGGCTCCCATAAGCTTGAAGGTTGTCCATGTCTCTGGCTTGGTTGATTGATAGATTCCGGATTAGCTAGCAGCCACTCTGCTACTGCTTGTATACCTTTGTCTGCATCTTCACTCCGATGAACATTCCGTTGTTTGAAAATAAACTCATTCCGTGCTTTCCATATCATCCAACTTGTCCAAAACGGAAGGAATCATTTCTCCTCCAGCAAAGTGTTCATCTCCTTTATTTTGATCATTGTTTTGATGTTTTCCTCTACCAAATTGCGTGAAACCTGAACATCTCCAGACTGAATTAGCATGTACACAATCAAACAAAACATGATTAATAGTCTCTTCCTGTAAGCAACACCTTGGGCATATTGGATCAATAGAAACAGTTCGCGAACATAACCTCTCCGCCGTCGGTATAGCTCCTGCAACTGCTTTCCATAGAAAATGTTGAATCTTCGGTGGTATATGCAATTTCCATATAGCTTTCTTGACTTCCAAATTACCTGGTGGTGGTATAATCTTTTCATGATCTTCCACATTATGTGTGGCTACCCAATAACCAGATTTAACCGAATACTTAGAATTAGTTGTATACGGCCATATAATCACATCTTCATTTGCGTAATTTGATAGCTTGATTGACCTTGCTAATGCCACATCCTCTGGCGTTAGAATCTGATTAAGCTTCTCTAAATCCCATTCTCGTCTTCCTTGATTACATAACTCCTCAACACGCATATCTAGATCACGGATAATACCATTTGCAGCTCGTGGAGGCAAAACTGGTAACCAATGATCTAGCAACACATTTGTATCCTTTCCATTACCTAGCCGAATACGTAACCCTTTCTTTAGCAGGTCCTTTCCCGCTTGAACTGATCTCCATCCATATGATGGACTTCCCCCACACAAAGACTCTAAGAACGTCGATGATCTGTGGTATCTACCTTTATATATCCTTGCAAGTAGCGACTAAGGGTTTTCAAGAACTGTCCATGCTTGTTTTCCTAACAAAGCTAAGTTAAACCTATGAAGATCCTTGAAGCCCATCCCACCTTCATTCTTTGGAAGAGATAATCGTTCCCATGAAACCCAAGATATCTTCCTACGGCCATTTTCATTTGTTCCCCACCAAAATTCAGATAAGATGCTATTAATCTCATCACATATCTGATTAGGAATGAGAAAACAGCTCATTGCATAAACCGCTTTTGCTTGCGCTATTGACTTGATGAGGACCTCTTTACCTCCTTGATTCAAAAACTGATTGTACCATGACACTACATTTTCTTTCACTCTATCCACCAGCCCCTGAAACACCTCTGTCTTTTTCCTTACTATTTGCTCTGGTAATCCTAAATATTTGCCTCCACCACCCACACGTGTAATTCCCAAGATGCCTTGAATAACCTGTTTTCGATGATGATGGATTCTGCTTCCAAAAATAATTGATGATTTCTGTAGATTTACCTTCTGACCAGAAATATCTTCATATTCCCGAATAACTCTTGCTATCCTTCGGCAATTTTCATATGTTTCTCTCCAGAAAAATAATGAATCATCTGCAAACAGAAGATGAGACACAGTTGGGCAAGCTTTACTAAGTTTCATACCATTCACTACAAGAATATTGGGCTTTAATAGCAGACGAATATAGCGTTTTTCACAATTGTGCTATGTTTGACAGACTCGTTTTTTTCAATAGCGTTTATTTTATTGTAAACGCTATGATATAGTGGCACATGACAAAATTTATTTTGCCGCATCATTTATGTGTGACTTATTAGTCTGTTATAGCAGACTTATATTGAAAACGCTATTTTATGGTTAGGCGGAAAAATACATTTTTTTCCCTCCACACTTAGTGAAAATTAAGCCCCGAAACGACTAACACTATCTGAGGATTACTTTCTCTTTTCCCCCTTTCCATATAAAATTAGGGTTCATACAATCTACGCAAGATTCGATTCAATTTTTCAGAAACCACGGCAATTGCTGCTTTGATTCTCATACCCTCTGTCATTCAACTGAAACCCATATTGTATTCGATCTCTCATTATCGTTCTACAGAATCTCTGTATTCGTTCGATCAATCACACTATCATTCTCAGTCACCATTCTACTTTCCGGCGGCCCAGGCGTAGAAACCCTGTGTGATTCCCATAAATCGAAGGTGATAGTTGTATATATTTAAGCATGTGTTATTTGTACTGAATCAGAGTTTAAGCATGATGAATTGAGATACCAGTTGTTAGTTGTTTTGCAGGAAGGTTCGTTTAATCTAGACTGCTCGACTTATAGGTACTATTCAAGTGTTTTTCTACATATTTGGTTTTCATTTCCCGATTTCTGATTAATGTTTGCCTGATTCAAATCGATTAATTTGTTCTATTTCTTGTCTTTTCTTCTTCGAAATCAGGAGAGAAGTTTGAACTCAACACTTGTCAGGTATATTAATAACTAAGATTTACTTCTCAGTTTACACTGTTGTTCTGCGAAATTAACGTGGATTAATGTGAATGTATGTTTGAAATTTTGTATGTTCCTTTCTTTGTGAGCTCTTGTACTTGCTCTTGAACCATGGATAAAGCTTGGGTCTGGTTACCAAGGTATGAGTTTTTCGTATGTCTACGTTCTTACATCTTCTGCTACTCTTTAATTACATATTGGTGATAACTGGACATTTTATTTCGGAATGAATTTGCAGGGCTAGTCTTGAGTATGAACAAGGGGCAACTACATTTGTGTATGACTCAGCAAGGAAACTGGGTAATGTTGCTCACATGTTCTGTCCCTGTATTGATTGCCGGAATGTTTGCCATCAACCGAATGGGACAGTGTTGGATCATCTGGTGATAAAGGGTATGGATCAGAAGTATAAAAGGAATAAATGTTGGAGTAAGCATGGAGATATAAGGGCAGACAAGGCAACTGAGCTTCAGAAAAGTGAATCTGATGCATACAACTTGATAAGGACTGCATTTTTAGCGAGTGAATGTAATGAAGCTTTGTCTACGGGTCAGAATGGAGACCAGTCTCAACTACACGAAGGTTTCTGCACTTATGGGACTTTACCGCATCAAAGTGAAGAGTGGTATGTCAGAGAACTTCTTCGACCAGCTTCTGATGCTAGTTCATGACATGCTACCTGAGAACAACGTGCTTCCTAAGTCGACTGATGAGATGAAGAAGTTCTTGAAGGTTTTTGGTTTTGGTTATGATCTCATTCATGCCTGCAAGAATGACTGCATCCTTTTTCGGAAAGAGTATGAGGATCTGGTCAGTTGTCCGAGGTGTAAGGGTTCAAGATGGGAAAGAGACAAGCACACTGGTGAGGAGAAAAAAGGGATCCCTGCAAAAGTGTTAAGGTATTTTCCCATCAAAGACAGATTTAAAAGGATGTATAGGTCGAAACGATTAGCTGAGGAGTTGCGTTGGCATTTCACTAATGCTACTGAAGATGGTACAATGAGGCATCCTGTTGACTCATTGACTTGGCTTCAAGTGAACGACAAATGGCCAGAGTTTGCAGCTGAAGCGAGAAACCTGAGACTAGGTCTCTCTACTGATGGGATGAATCCTTTCTCTATTCAGAACACCAAGTACAGTACATGGCCGATTTTGCTTGTGAATTACAACATGGCTCCAACGAAATGTATGAAGGCTGAGAATATGATGCTGACTATGTTGATTCCCGGACCAACAGCACCAAGCAATAACATAAACGTCTACTTACAGCCACTGATAGACGATCTCAAAGATTTATGGAGTGAAGGTATGGAAATTTATGATGCATTTTTGAAAGAGAGATTTACACTTAAAGCTATGTTGTTGTGGAGCATCACTGATTTACACAAGGACTGGCTATTGAGTACACTTTGAAACTATGGATTTTGGATCAAGCTAAAACAAAAGTATGATTGAGGTTGTAATGGTGAACCGAACTAGCAAGTATAACGAGGTTGTAAATCAATAAGGGGAAACGCTAGGTCATAGGGGCTAATCGCAGAGAAGCAAGCAATGATCAATGAAACAATGATAGATGAATTGATTAGGGATGTTGGGATATTAAGAACCGTCTAGAACACAGATCACGAATATAAAACCATTCCACTTTCGAGGCTCCGGCTCCTTTGTTAATCTACCTAGTCGCTAAACTTTTGGTATGTCCCTAGGTGATTAAATCAAGCTTTAGAATGAATAGGTTCTGATACAGTTCACTAGATTATAGTAGATCAACTTTCGCAGTCTAAGAAACCTAGCTTGTCAAAGAATATGTCCGGCGAATGATACAACACTGTCGAGGCTCAAATCAACCTAAGATCGGATTACTAGATGCGCGGTAAAGCAATCAGCATTAGTTAAGTGCACAAGACGAGACAAAGACTCTATATAATCCCTAGCTAATCATCGAAATCAAAGATCATGCAAGCAACTCATTGATTAGTAACCCTAGCAACCTAACTAGTGGATTACTCAGACATGATCAAAGCAAACACACATAGAGATGAAGAAAACATGATTGCAATAAAACTTAGAGTAGGAAATCGATACAAGGGCGGCTCTCTTTTCACAAGAGGCTAAAAAGCTATATATATAGTGCTAGGTCTTTAGAGGCGGCTTAGGGTTAAGCCGGGCCTTGAAAATGTGAAACGGGCTTCAAAACGGGCTTCGGGTCGACCGGCGTTCGGACGGTCGGTCGGGACGATCGGCCGGATGATCGGTGATGCGGCATCTATGGGATGAGTACAAGTAATAATTCCCTAAGACAACTAGTGTTGCAAGTGCACAACATATAATTGTAGTATTTAGGGGTCGAACCACAAGGGATTGGATTTCACACATTACATAATCATAGAGTTTAAATGACTAAGCTAAATCAAAAGATGCAAGGGTTTGTGTTTGTTTAGAACACGCAAAAGAAAATAACAATGCAATTCTATACAAGCAACATTATTGAACTATTGAAAACTCTTTTGAAAACATGAGCCAAGTCGATTGAAAAGTTTGTTAAAATCCGATTCTTTTGAACTCAAAACACTAAGGAAGGATTATTCCACTTTCGTGGTTCCAATCCCCTATGTCTCTTAAACCAATGGGCTCAGCTTTCGTTGGTCATTGTAGAGTGAGACATGCATTACATCCAAGTAATGATTGTTCACAAAACTCTTTAGGTCTACTTTCGTAGCCTAAAACGATTTGCCCATCAAATATATCCGGAGATATAACAAGCTTTTGGAGAGTATATCAACCTAAAATCAAGTCACTAGTTAGCTACTCTAGCAACAGGCATTAAGCATAAATAAAGATGGAGAACCATAGGGTTTCCCCTTTTAACAATCGATTTTCGATGGCCATTATATCACGTCCTCATTGGAAGGATCCATAATTCAACAATGAGTCTTAGATAGTAGATGAAGTCTCATGAATCCTTAGAGAGAGAGGCGGCGGAATATAGACTAAACCACGCCTCACCCTTAGGGAGAAATCTCTACTTCTAGACTATATAAATTGAAACATGCAAGCTATATACAAATGCAAAAGAAGAAAAGAAAGAAGAAGGAGACCACCTAAGTGGCTCCGAACTTTATTGAATAAGTGTTTCTTGTTATGCGGCTGGTGATTCTTATTACAAGAGGCTAAAAGCAAGTATATATAGGTAGAGAGCGGGTCTAGGTCGGCAAAGTTGAGCGCGCGCAGAAGAGGAAAGTTTCCATTTCTCTTTAGCCGCTTGAGCTTGCTCTCCAAGTTCTTGAATGGGCCGCGTTCAGGCCAATGGAAGCTTCTGGATTGAGTTATGCTAGTGTCAAGATGAGCCAAGGCCTTGGGCGCGGTATCTCGGGCCTCTTGATCCATCAAAGTCTCCATGGGCTCTACTTAGGCGCTCGTCGGACATGTCTTGGTAGAAAATAAGTTCCGGTCCAACGAGTGATCCAAATGACCTCTTTCCACTTCGCCGCGGGTCATGACTCAAATATCTATCTTTCCATATAAGAATCATGACTTTTGGACGTCGGGAAGGCATGAATATGCGGTCGTACTTCGGATGCTCCGGTTTGGTCTTTAGCGAGAAATGTAGATTTTGGTGCTCTAGACTTGGGAACTTGGTGATTTGACTCTTTTTGCTCCATTTTGGACTCTTCTTTGCTATTTTGACCTGAATGATGCTCAAAACCAGAATATACAAGAAAACTACCTCTTGGGCTTAAAAACCACATTATTTGTATTAAAAACATAGTGAAAACCTTGATAAAAACATGAAAGATATGGGTATATCAACTCCCCCAGACTTAGCCTTTTGCTTGTCCCCAAGCAAACTAAGAGAGGAAGAGAGGTTTGAAAACGCAAGAACTCTCAAATCATTAGGAAATCCGGGTTGGCTTGGTTTTAGTAATCCACATGAAAGTAGTAAAGGCAAATATTTGAATTAAGAACAAGAGTACATACCATGAGTTTTGCGATTTTTCCAAGGCGGCCCACCTCTCTTTGGACAATCCAATTCACCCTCCTTGACTCCTTTCATTTCTAAAGGTGTGGTCTCAACTAGGGAGTATCGATCAGCCGGCTTTAGACTCTTACTCATCCCCTTGTTTTGGCACTTGTCTTTTTACTCCATGTTTCTCCTCTCTCTCTTCTCACTTCTTTGAGTTGACTCATCCCTTTTTTAGGGTAGCGAAGTATTTTTTTATTCAACTCCTTCTCTTTATTATAGAGGTTTTGCTTGGATCTTCCACAGACGCGAGTATTGATGGTGTTTGCCACCGAATCCCCGGTTGCTTGGATTCATAGGCCTTCCATAGACGCGAGTATTGATGGTGTTTGCCACCGAATCCCCGGTTACTTGGACCTTACGCTTTTTCTTTAAATTTGAAGGGGAGAGAGAGGGAAGCACGAACTCACTAAGACTTTTTCATTTGATGGAGAGGATGAGGAATCATGCCATTTGTATGCCAAGCCCCTAGCTGAGAAGATTAAGTTCATTAAGGGCGGAGTCAAGAGTGGATCCTTCTCAAGTCCTTGGAGGTGTGGGCGTTTTTGGTAGATCGATCAACTCATAGTGTCCCTGTGGTAAGATGTATTGCCAAGACTGCTTCAATGGTCACTTAAACGTTAGCACAACAATGGTTAGATCCAAGATAAGGTCATAATCCTTTGACAAAATTTTGACTCAATAAAACGACTCAATGAAATTCAAAAAGAACAAACTTGTTAGTAATCCCCCCAGACTTAACTTGCACCGTCTCGGTGTAAGAAAAATCCAATTAAGAGAGGTAATGATAAATAAGAATGGAAAAGTTAGAGTTTGTAGAAAATTGTACCCAAATTTTTGGCCTTTGATGTGAAGATCGGTTGTGCGCTTGGTTGCTTCCAGGAATGACTGACTGGTGCAAACATCATAGCTGTTGGATTTGGTTGGATGAATGTGACAATTCTCCCTTGGTTTTCTGTTTTTCGCCTTTTTGGCCGAGACTGGTCCGTTTTGGTCGACCGGATGGTGATGGTATGGACTACAGCTCGAACCGTGAAGATTTCCTCGACCTATCTTGAAATTTCGTCGACCAATATTGTATAATATGGCGACTGGTGAAGTTTGGGGTCGTTTGAACGAGTGGTTTGAGATCTCCTTTGAAAAATTTTCAAATTGGCTCCGGGAACGTCTTCCTTCGGCTTCTCCAATTCTGCTCGTTCCAATCCGGATTTTCTTCTTTAGATGCGATGTGGATGCTTGATGGAGGTGATTTGAGCCGGTGGCCGCGGTAAATGCCGTGATTTGGATTGTCGGCCATTTTACTTGCTCGCGATCGGCCAAATTTCACTCCATCGGCCATCTCTTGAATTGTAAGGAATTCATTGTACTGAAATGAATTTCATCGACCAACCTTATGTTTTGTGGCTCCTTGTGAAGTTTGAGGCGATTTGAACGTGTGGATTCGGAGATCTTTCGTCGTGCGCGCCAATGGCTTCGGGATGTGATTCCTTTGGCCATCTTGTATCTGTTCGATCGTCTCCTTCCTTTCTTCTTCCTTGGTGTTTTTTGGACTCCAGAGGATCAGTTTCCACCGGTGTTCGCGCCTTCTTGAGGTTTTGAGTTCGTCGGCCATTCTATGCATCGCCGTCGGCCGTATTGAGCTTCCTTCGTCTATCTCACGTAGCAGGCACTTTTTCTCGTCCTATCTTTTGGATTTGCCGACCAAAATGATGTTTTGAGGTCGCCTGTGAAGTTTGGTGGACTTCGGTCGTGCCGTTTGGGAGATGGTCGAGCATTGTCGCTTGGTTCGTCGATTCTGGCCGAGAGAGTGGTTGTGATGTTGATATCTCCTTATTTACTCGGGCCAATTGAGTTCTGCTTCGACCGAACTGTTTTTCTATCCCTCCTGGATTGAATTGTGGTTGGATTTCCCTCATCTCTCATGTTTGGCATGTAAATCCTCCTTTGGCCGGTTGTGGCTCCTTTGCGCGCCATGTTTGTATGATATTTTGAACCGGTCTTTCCTGTCATGTTTTATATCTGAAAAACACTAGTAACTTTTTGTTAAACTCTGTCAATGATTGAGTTGTTCAAAATAGTTTGAACTTCCCAATCAAAGACTTGATCGTGAAACCATATGTACTTGTGATCTTGATCAGAAATCCAAGTAGTGTTGTATTGGTTTAATTTGATAGAAATAGTGTTTAAAAGAAATGACAGTAAGAATGGAAGTGATACTTACCTTTGCCTTGTGCAATAGTGTTCCAATGGCCGGATTTTGTTGTGCCGCGGCCCTTCTTGGACTTCTTTGCTTCTTGAAACATGGGTGGGACTTGGGTGGGACTCAAACTAGACTCAATGCTTGACACTTAGACCAAAGATGGTTGATCCTTGGGCCGATTGGTGGCGATGTAGCTTTTCCAATGCATTTTTCATGTAAGCCTCCTTTTTGGTACTTTTTCCTAAAACACTTTTTATTTTATTTTTGTAAAATTTATTAAACTCTCAAAAATTTAAGAGTTATAAATAGAACAAATAATAGTTATAAAAATAAAAAAAAAATAAAAAGAGGAAGGGATAAGAAAATGTGGGTTGCCTCCCACAAGCGCTTGTTTTAAGTCTTTGTAGCTCGACTCCTTTGTGTTCTTAGTTAGGTAGGATTGGTGGCTCCAAGAACTTCCTGTTGCCTGATGATTCCAAGTGCATCTTGTCCTGTAGAACTTCCTTGATCAAGTAGCCATGCGACTCTCCTCTTACTTGTGAGCACTCTCCTCCACTTGTGTAGCGAAATCGCTTGGATGAGAAACCGGGAGGTGCAGCATCGTAGAAGGTGTCCTTGTCAACATTGGCTAGAGAGATTCTTCTATTAGGCCAATCCATGATCGCTCCAGCTGTGGCTAGGAATGATCTTCCATCAAATACCATATCCGGAGATATAACAAGCTTTTGGAGAGTATATCAACCTAAAATCAAGTCACTAGTTAGCTACTCTAGCAACAGGCATTAAGCATAAATAAAGATGGAGAACAATAGGGTTTCCCCTTTTAAANGTCCATTTTGGTCGACCGGATGGTGATGGTATGGACTACAGCTCGAACCGTGAAGATTTCCTCGACCTATCTTGAAATTTCGTCGACCAATATTGTATAATATGGCGACTGGTGAAGTTTGGGGTCGTTTGAACGAGTGGTTTGAGATCTCCTTTGAAAAATTTTCAAATTGGCTCCGGGAACGTCTTCCTTCGGCCTTCTCCAATTCTGCTCGTTCCAATCCGGATTTTCTTCTTTAGATGCGATGTGGATGCTTGATGGAGGTGATTTGAGCCGGTGGCCGCGGTAAATGCCGTGATTTGGATTGTCGGCCATTTTACTTGCTCGCGATCGGCCAAATTTCACTCCATCGGCCATCTCTTGAATTGTAAGGAATTCATTGTACTGAAATGAAGTTTCATCGACCAACCTTATGTTTTGTGGCTCCTTGTGAAGTTTGAGGCGATTTGAACGTGTGGATTCGGAGATCTTTCGTCGTGCGCGCCAATGGTTCGGGATGTGATTCCTTTGGCCATCTTGTATTCTGTTCGATCGTCTCCTTCCTTTCTTCTTCCTTGGTGTTTTTTGGACTCCAGAGGATCAGTTTCCACCGGTGTTCGCGCCTTCTTGAGGTTTTGAGTTCGTCGGCCATTCTATGCATCGCCGTCGGCCGTATTGAGCTTCCTTCGTCTATCTCACGTAGCAGGCACTTTTCTCGTCCTATCTTTTGGATTTGCCGACCAAAATGATGTTTTGAGGTCGCCTGTGAAGTTTGGTGGACTTCGGTCGTGCCGTTTGGGAGATGGTCGAGCATTGTCGCTTGGTTCGTCGATTCTGGCCGAGAGAGTGGTTGTGATGTTGATATCTCCTTATTTACTCGGGCCAATTGAGTTCTGCTTCGACCGAACTGTTTTTCTATCCCTCCTGGATTGAATTGTGGTTGGATTTCCCTCATCTCTCATGTTTGGCATGTAAATCCTCCTTTGGCCGGTTGTGGCTCCTTTGCGCGCCATGTTTGTATGATATTTTGAACCGGTTCTCCTGTCATATTTATATCTGAAAAACACTAGTAACTTTTTGTTAAACTCTGTCAATGATTGAGTTGTTCAAAATAGTTTGAACTTCCCAATCAAAGACTTGATCGTGAAACCATATGTACTTGTGATCTTGATCAGAAATCCAAGTAGTGTATGGTTTAATTTGATAGAAATAGTGTTTAAAAGAAATGACAGTAAGAATGGAAGTGATACTTACCTTTGCCTTGTGCAATAGTGTTCCAATGGCCGGATTTTGTTGTGCCGCGGCCCTTCTTGGATTCTTTGCTTCTTGAAACATGGGTGGGACTTGGGTGGGACTCAAACTAGACTCAATGCTTGACACTTAGACCAAAGATGGTTAATCCTTGGGCCGATTGGTGGCGATGTAGCTTTTCCAATGCATTTTTCATGTAAGCCTCCTTTTTGGTACTTTTTCCTAAAACACTTTTTATTTTATTTTTGTAAAATTTATTAAACTCTCAAAAATTTAAGAGTTATAAATAGAACAAATAAGTAGTTATAAAAATAAAAACAAAAATAAAAAGAGGAAGGGATAAGAAAATGTGGGTTGCCTCCCACGAGCGCTTGTTTTAAGTCTTTGTAGCTCGACTCTTTTGTGTTCTTAGTTAGGTAGGATTGGTGGCTCCAAGAACTTCCTGTTGCCTGATGATTCCAAGTGCATCTTGTCCTGTAGAACTTCCTTGATCAAGTAGCCATGCGACTCTCCTCTTACTTGCGAGCACTCTCCTCCACTTGTGTAGCGAAATCGCTTGGATGAGAAACCGGGAGGTGCAGCATCGTAGAAGGTGTCCTTGTCAACATTGGCTAGAGAGATTCTTCTATTAGGCCAATCCATGATCGCTCCAGCTGTGGCTAGGAATGATCTTCCATCAAATATATCCGGAGATATAACAAGCTTTTGGAGAGTATATCAACCTAAAATCAAGTCACTAGTTAGCTACTCTAGCAACAGCATTAAGCATAAATAAAGATGGAGAACCATAGGGTTTCCCCTTTTAACAATCGATTTTCGATGGCCATTATATCACGTCCTCATTGGAAGGATCCATAATTCAACAATGAGTCTTAGATAGTAGATGAAGTCTCATGAATCCTTAGAGAGAGAGGCGGCGGAATATAGACTAAACCACGCCTCACCCTTAGGGAGAAATCTCTACTTCTAGACTATATAAATTGAAACATGCAAGCTATATACAAATGCAAAAGAAGAAAAGAAAGAAGAAGGAGACCACCTAAGTGGCTCCGAACTTTATTGAATAAGTGTTTCTTGTTATGCGGCTGGTGATTCTTATTACAAGAGGCTAAAAGCAAGTATATATAGGTAGAGAGCGGGTCTAGGTCGGCAAAGTTGAGCGCGCGCAGAAGAGGAAAGTTTCCATTTCTCTTTAGCCGCTTGAGCTTGCTCTCCAAGTTCTTGAATGGGCCGCGTTCAGGCCAATGGAAGCTTCTGGATTGAGTTATGCTAGTGTCAAGATGAGCCAAGGCCTTGGGCGCGGTATCTCGGGCCTCTTGATCCATCAAAGTCTCCATGGGCTCTACTTAGGCGCTCGTCGGACATGTCTTGGTAGAAAATAAGTTCCGGTCCAACGAGTGATCCAAATGACCTCTTTCCACTTCGCCGCGGGTCATGACTCAAATATCTATCTTTCCATATAAGAATCATGACTTTTGGACGTCGGGAAGGCATGAATATGCGGTCGTACTTCGGATGCTCCGGTTTGGTCTTTAGCGAGAAATGTAGATTTTGGTGCTCTAGACTTGGGAACTTGGTGATTTGACTCTTTTTGCTCCATTTTGGACTCTTCTTTGCTATTTTGACCTGAATGATGCTCAAAACCAGAATATACAAGAAAACTACCTCTTGGGCTTAAAAACCACATTATTTGTATTAAAAACATAGTGAAAACCTTGATAAAAACATGAAAGATATGGGTATATCAATCGGTTCATGGCCGCTCCTAGTACGATCGGAACGGTCCTGGCCGGACGGATGCGTGGTCGGACGTTGTGGTCGGACGGATGAAGACTTGGCCGATGAAATCTTGGCTCGGACGGCGCCATCGGCCATGGTACGCGAGACAGGTTGCGCGGCCGCGAGGCTTTGTTTCCCGGCTCGCGCGGCATGGTCGTGCGCGGCATTGGCGTGAGCGGTTGTGGCGTGGCCGACCGCGGGCTTTAGTTTCCCGGGTCGTGACTTGCGTTCGGCCGAACGGTTTTGGACTTTGGCCGAGACTTCAGACGGACGGATGAGATTCTGGCCGAGCGTGAAACGTTCGTTCCTCGGCCAGCCGGACTGCACGGTTTGGGCGCTGTTCTCGATAGAGCCGTCTGGAGCAGTCTTCACTCTTTTGGTTGTAACTCCTTTTCTACTCATCCAAATGAAGCCATTCCAGTTGCGTTGGAAATTTAACTCAATCAGAGCACGCAGGGAACTGGTCTAGATGAAATCCATTCAGTAGATATTTTTCTGGGCCCTCTTAAAGTTGATGCTTGTGCATGGAGCGGCTTGAAGTGCAAATCCTATGGTTTTGCTCCAAAATGCATCATTTCACCTGTTTAGACTCAAGACACTATAAACACAGTAAAACTACCTTTTTAGATAGAAAACCTGCCAAAAACCATTAGAAAACAATACTAAAATAGTATAAAAAGCATGTAAAATAGAGGTATATCAGGTTCCTCGATAGAGCCGTCTGGACAGTCTTCACTCTTTTGGTTATAACTCCTTTTCTACTCATCCAAATGAGGCCGTTCCAGTTGCGTTGGAAAGTTAACTCAATCAGAGCACGCAGGGAACTGGTCTTGATGAAATCCATTGAGTAGATCTTTTTCTGGGCCCTCTTAAAGTTGATGCTTGTGCATGGAGCGGCTTGAAGTGCAAATCCTATGGTTTTGCTCCAAAATGCATCATTTCACCTGTTTAGACTCTAGACACTATAAACACAGTAAAACTACCTTTTTAGATAGAAAACCTGCCAAAAACCATTAGAAAACAATACTAAAACAGTATAAAAAGCATGTAAAATAGAGGTATATCAACTCCCCCAGACTTAGATCTTTGCTTGTCCTCAAGCAAAAAATCTAGTGAAAGAGGTTTGAAAACGTGGAACTCCCTTGCTCTTTTGAATATCCTGTGAAAGGTTCCTTTCCTGTATTCCACTAAGAACATAGCAACATAAGGTTAGCTTCACATACACCCTGCAAGTTTAGCGAACAATACCAACCCAACTAGTCTCATCCAGCAATCCAAACTCTCTATTGCTAACCTCTTGCATAAATTTAAAGCGTGAATTCTTTATCAAGGGGACATCGATCAATTGAACTTGTTCTTACCCACTTGATCTTCTCCAAGATTGTCTTTGAAGTGCAATGAGTTCTTTTCCTCTCTCTTTCTCACATCAGAACTTTGAAAGGTCAATTTCTCCCTACTTTTCTAGGGTATCATTTTATTTTTTCTATTGACCCTTCTTTCAACCACAGGATAAGTCTTTAGCTTGTTCCTTGTTTGACTAAGGTATTCCATAAGACATGAAGGTACAGACATATGCATTCCTCATGCTTACTTGTTTTCCTTGTGCTCTTTGAGCTTTTTCTCATAAACATTACTTACCATTTGGGATGGGAGAGAGAGGAGAACTCTTTAAAGATTAGACAAATCTCATTGAAAATCAAGCAAGGAACTGTCGACATGTATGCCAATCCCCTTGACAAGAGTATTAAGATTGATTAAGGGTGAGGTTAACTCTAGATTGCTTGGTTACCTTAGAAATTTTGCTGAGCTAGCATGTCGATCCACTGTAAGAGCTTCTGTTAGGCTTGTGCCTTTAGCTGGTTTCTGCTCTAGGGTCATGGATTGTTAGCATAACACTCTCAATTCTCAAAGCAAGTTCATAACTTCCGGACTGGTTTTTGACTCAATAAAACTTTTTGAAAAACATGAAACAAAGTAATAAAACATAAGAAAAGAAAGAAAAATGCATTAGTAACACAATAAAACTCCCCCCAGACTTAACTTGCACCGTCCCGGTGAAAGCAAATCACATTAAGGTGAGAGGTAATATTCAAAAAAAGAAAATTAAAGAAAGAAAATGAAAAGAAATGACCTTCAATGGGTTGCCTCCCATTCAGCGCTTTGTTTAAAGTCATTAGCTTGACTGTATGGCACTTCCTTAAGGATCTGGTGGATCGCCAAGAGCAGTGTGGTCTCCTGTGGTATGGTGGTGGAAGCTAGGTAGGGTTTTAACCTTTGTCCATTGACTGTAAAGTCTCCTCCCATTGGGTCCCATAGTACCACTGCTCCATAGGGGCGAACTTCTTTAATCCTGAATGGTCCTGACCATCTTGAGCGAAGCTTTCCTGGAAAGAGTTTCAACCTTGAGTTGAATAGTAGAACTTGGTCGTTTGGCGCGAAGTTCTTTGGGATGATCTTGCGGTCATGGAAAGCTTTGGTTCTCTCCTTATAGATCTTTGAATTCTCATAAGCCAGATGCCTAATCTCATCAAGCTCATTTAGCTGAATCAATCTTCTTTCTCCTGCTGTCTTTAGGTTGAAGTTCAACTCCTTAATAGCCCAAGCTGCTTTGTACTCCAGCTCCACAGGTAAATGACATGCTTTACCATAAACAAGATGAAAGGGGGTGGTACCAAGTGGTGTTTTGAAGGCAGTGCGGTATGCCCATAGAGCATCATCTAGTTTGGCACTCCAATCCTTTCTTGTCTTGCCTGTTGTCTTCTGAAGTATGCTCTTGAGTTCTCTGTTTGAGATCTCAACTTGTCCACTAGTTTGAGGGTGGTAAGGAGAGGCAACTTTGTGAGTAACTCCATGCTTCTTCAAAAGGTTGGCAAAGATTCTGTTGATGAAATGTGAACCTCCATCACTTATGACTATCCTAGGCACTCCAAACCTTGGAAAAATGATGGATTTAAACATCTTGATGACCACTTGTGCGTCATTAGTAGGGCTGGCGATGGCTTCCACCCATTTGGAGACATAATCAACTGCCACTAGAATGTATTGGTCACCAAAAGAGGTTGGGAAGGGTCCCATAAAGTCAATGCCCCAAACATCAAAAACTTCAACTTCTAGTATAAAGTTCTGTGGCATCTCATTCCTCTTGCTTATATTTCCCATTCTTTGGCAAGCATCACATCTTGATATGAATGCATGAGCATCCTTAAACATAGTTGGCCACCAAAATCCAGCTTGTAGACCTTGGATACTGTCTTGTAAGTGGCAAAGGCCTGCATAGCTAGAACTATGACAAGCAAACAATATTCCTTCTACTTCTTCCTCAGGGATGCATCTTCTAAACATTCCATCTGAACATTTCTTGTATAAGTAAGGTTCATCCCAGTAGTACCTTCTTACATCACGCAGAAATTTCTTCTTTCTGTAGCCAAAGAAGTTTGGTGGTGGGTATTCAGCTGCAAGGAAGTTTGCTATGTGGCGAAACCATGGTGTGTTTGATGATGAGATCTTTGTTCCTGGCCTGTGATGGCTAGTTGTCCATGCTTATTGCTGCTTCAGCTGCATAAACTGTTTCTTCAGGTAGCCTATCATCAAGGGTAGATTTTCTTCAACTCTCATCCTTGAAAGGTGATCAGCTACTCCATTATCTGCTCCTCTTCTATCCTTGATCTCAAGATCAAATTCTTGCAATAGTAGTATCCATCTCAGCAATCTTGGCTTGGCATCTTTCTTAGATAAGAGATACCTTAATGCTGCATGATCAGAATGAACTATAACTTTCGATCCCACCAAGTATGATCGAAATTTCTCAAATGCAAAGACAATAGCTAAGAAGCTCCTTTTCTGTTGTGGCATACTTGCATTGTGCCTCATCAAGTGTTCTGCTGGCATAATAGATCACATGTAGCTTCTTGTCTTTTCTTTGTCCAAGCACTGCTCCTACTGCATAATCACTTGCATCACACATTATCTCAAAAGGTAGTTCCCAGTTTGGAGGTTGAACCACTGGCGCACTGACCAATGCATCTTTGATCTTAGTGAAAGCCTTGTGACACTCCTCTGTGAACTCAAAGTTAATATCCTTGCATAAAGGCGTGTTAGCGGCCTTGCTATCTGTGAGAAATCTTTAATGAACCTCCTGTAGAATCCAGCATGTCCTAGGAAGCTTCTGATATCTTTAACTGTCTTGGGCGGCTGAAGGTTTGTCATACTTCAATCTTGGCCTTGTCAACTTCTATGCCTCTCTCTGAGATTCTATGTCCAAGCACTATTCCATCTCTAACCATAAAGTGGCACTTCTCCCAATTTAGAACTAGGTGCTTGTCTTCACATCTCTGTAGCACTCTTCCAAGATTTCCCAAACATGATTCAAAGGAAGAACCATATACTGAGAAATCATCCATGAAAACCTCCATAATCTCTTCTATTAGATCTGTGAATATGGACATCATACACCTTTGGAATGTAGCTGGAGCATTGCACAATCCAAAAGGCATTCTCCTATAAGCATATGTGCCATAGGGACAAGTGAAGTAGTCTTCTCCTGATCATCTGGGTGGATTGGAATTTGGAAAAATCCTGAGTATCCATCCAAGAAACAGTAGTATTGATGATTGGCAAGGCGCTCAAGCATCTGGTCTATGAATGGCAAGGGGTAGTGGTCCTTGCGCGTGGAGGAGTTCAGCTTCCTGTAGTCGACACACATTCTGTGTCCTGTGATTGTCCTTGTTGGAATGAGCTCATCATGTTCATTCTTGATGACTGTGATCCCTCCTTTCTTTGGCACGACATGTACAGGGCTGACCCATGCACTATCTGATATTGGATAATCACTCCAGCTTTCAATAGCTTCATTATCTCCTTCTTGACAACTTCCTTTAGGTTTGGGTTTAGCCTCCTTTGGTGTTCAATTGAAGAACTAGACTCATCCTCCAGGATGATGCGATGTGTGCATAGTTCAGGTGAGATTCCTGTTAAATCATCCAAAGAGTAACCAAGAGCCTTTCTATGCTTTCTCAGTTCGCGAACAAGTAAAGCGGTCTCTTCTTTTGTTAGTGCAGCATTAACAATAACAGGATATGTTTCATTAGGACCAAGATATTCATACCTTAGACCAACTGGGAGTTGTTTGAGCTCGGCTTTTGGAGCTCTAAGTGGGCACCATGGGTCGAACTTAACTTTGGTTTGTGATTTCCTTTCTTGTCAATGTCTGGCTCTTCCTCTTCTCTCTCTAAGTCCATATAAGCTATCAGCTCTTTATAAGCTTCCTTGAATCCATGAACTTGACTAAGCATTGAGCTTCTCTTTCCATGTATCCATACTCATTCTCAGCCTTTGTCAAAGCTAGCTCCAAGGGATCAATAAGAAGGAGTTCATCCAGCACTTCTTCTCTTGTCTCTGCGAGCTCTCCAATCCAAAAAGCTTGACCATCTACAGTTGGTTTCTCCATGGACTTGTTTACTTCGAAATTCATCACTATATCTCCAAGATGCAAGTCAATCTTTCCATTCTTGACATCTATTATAGCTCCTGCAGTAGCTAGGAATGGCCTTCCCAAGATAAGAGGGTCTTTAGGTTGGTGTTCCAGCTCAAGAACTACAAAATCAGCAGGGATGTAGCAATCTCCAACCATGATTGGAACATCCATAATAACACCAACAGGGCGGCGAACAGATCTGTCTGCAAAGACTAGAGATATCTTTGTAGGTTTGAAGTCAGTGATGCCCAATAGCTTGGCCACTGAGTAAGGCATTAGGTTCACACTAGAACCCAAATCACAAAGTGCTCTATGGAAGTGTGTAGAACCGATCTTGCAAGACAAAACAAAACTCCCTGGGTCGTTCAGCTTCTCTGGCATGCGATTCTGAAGTATGGCACTACACTCCTTTGTAATCATCATTGCTCCTTCTTCAAGACTCACATTGCTTGTGAGTATGGCCTTCATATATTTCCTGAGAGATGGAATTATCTGGCAGGCATCAATGAAAGGTAACCTTACTGAAAGTTGGCTAACAAGATCCTTGAGCTTTGCTTGCTCCTTCTCCTTCTTGGGTTGAGAAAGAACATTTCTGTATGGGATCTTTGGCTCATACACTCTTGGTTCTTCAGGTGGCTTCTCCACTTCCTCCTGAGTTCCTGGTTCTATTCTGACATGGACTTCCTTAGGTGGTTCAGTCCATCTCCAATAATGACATACTCCATTGGTTTCTTCTTGATTGGCGGCATTGCTTCCTCTTGATCTGGGTATGCTGGCGGCTCATACCCTTTTCCATTCCTAAGAGTGATAGCTGCTACAGCTGCTCTCCTTGGATTGATTTCCACTTTTCCTGGTAGCACCTTCTTCTCTCTTAATAGAGCTGGCTATGTTGGCAACTCTAAGATCCAAGTCTCTTGTGAAAGAAGAAATTGAATCCAACTTCTCATTCAATCTCGTGAAAGCTGACTCCAATCTCTCATCAATCAAGGCTGTGTGCTCTCTATGAGAACTCTTGATGAAAGTTATCAAATCTTCAAAGTTGCTCCTTGGCTCCATTCTTCTCTTGTGAGGTGGTTGCTGATAATTTCTTCCTCCATGAACATCCCTCTTCTCATTGGGTGATTCTTGAGTAAAAACATCATGCTCTCCTTTCCAAGCTTCTTCTCCATGTGCCAATCCATCTATTCCAACAAAGTTTACTTCTTCTTGGAAAGTTTGGAATCAAATCTCCAAAGTAATCTTGAATTATTGTGGACTCAACTCTATAAGCTTCTCTTTGTCTCTCCACTTCTCTTCCTTGGTTTCTCAGTATCTCAGCCATCATGGCTTTGATCTCACTGTATCCATCTCTGTATGGATCAGAATTTATGGCCTTCACTGCTCTCTCATGCCCAATGAAGTTGTCACTGTCGCTTGAGGCTAGATTTTCAATCAAAATCTTTGCTTCAGTAACTGTCTTGGTCATGAAATTTCCATTGCTGGCTGTATCAAGAGAAAATCGACACTTCCCACTTATTCCTCTGTAGAAAATGTTCCATAGACTGCCATCAGATAGCCCATGATTAGGACACTCCTTGTGTAGTCCTTAAAGCGCTCCAATGCTTCATGAAAAGGCTCCACCGGCCCTTGTTGGAAACTAGAGATCTTTTCTCTCAACAAGTTTGCTCTTTGCTTTGTGAAAAAGTGACCTAGGAATGCCACCTTGTACTCTTTCCATGTGGTTATGGATTGAGCTGGAAGAGACTTAACCCAGCGCAAAGCCTTCCCTGTCAAAGTGAAAGAGAATAGTTTGCACTTTAAGTACTCCTTGGGTGCACCTCCTGCACTGATGGTGCCACAGATTTCTTCAAAGCATCAATATGTTCCAAAGGATTCTCCTGGGGTTTTCCTTGGAACTGGTTTTGTTTCACCAAACCAATGATCTCCGGCGAAATCTCATAGCTTCTTCCTTCAGGAAGTGGCGGCTGGATGGGATTCCGATTTACTATAGTGTTGGATTGGAATCGAAATCTCCCATGACTTCTTCATTGTTCGCGCTCCATCTCTCGGCATTCCATCATTGGCGCGATCGTGCGCGGCGTTCGGATCCGGCGGATCTTCGCGTTGCTCGGCCAGCGCGATCTCTCTCGCGGCCAAGTTATCTCTCTCCTCTTGATCGTCTGAATCACTCATGTTAGAGTCTTCCTTTCAAGCTTAGTACCTGAAAGGGGTAGAGGCAAGATTCTTTTAAATAGAAAACAGTAAAAAGGAAAACAAAAGTTGAAAATTTGCAAAAACAAAAAGGAAAAACGAAATTCTAGACTAGACTATAGTTGGGAACTCGAAGGTAGCTGTATTGCTCCCCGGCAACGGCGCCAAAAACTTGATCGCGGGATCAGGTCTTCCCTTTTCCTATCCCTGATTCTGCAAGTGCACAGGTCAGAAGTAGTAAACGGGTATCGAACACAAGGAGCAGATAAGTACACTTCGAGTATTGCAAGTCTAATATAGCTAGAAAACAAGTATGATTTAGGGTTTTGATTGTGTAACAAGGAAATCAAACAGCAGATTAAACGGTTTATGAAAATCAATAAAGGGAAACGCTAGGCAATGAGAAACTCGCAGAGATTCAAGGTTAACAAGATATTAGAAGGTTTCGCTAGGGTTTGCGCTATCTAGAACTCAGGTCACGATTGTATGATCTTTCCACTGTCGAGGCTCCGACCCCTTTGTTAATCTACCTAGTCGCTAAACTTTTGGTATGTCCCTAGGTGATTAAATCAAGCAATAGTTCGTTCAAGACCCAATTGTTCACAACCCCGCATAGATCAACTTTCGCAGTCTATGAAGTTTTGCTCACCAAATACTTAGTTCAGGTTATATAGCAAGCTTTTGGAGAGTATATGAAACCTAAGATCTGATGCTAGTTGATCAGAAAAGCAAGCAGCAATGAATTCAAGTAGAGATGAAGATGCAATATAGTAAACCCTATGCGACTTCTAACAACCTATCAAACCATGAACTCTTTGATAGATCTCACAACCTAACTAGTGAATTACTCAGACATGATCAAAGCAACAACACAAAAGATGAAGGAAAACATGATTGCAATAAAACTCAAAGTATGAAATCGTGATACAAGGGCGGCTCTCTTTCACAAGAGGCTAAAAAGCTATATATATAGTGCTAGGTCTTCAGAGGCGGCTTAGGGTTAAGCCGGGCCGTGAAAATACGTGAAACGGGCTTCAAAACGGGCTTTGGGTCGACCGCGGCGTTCGGACGGTCGGACGGGACGATCGGCCGGACAATGGGTCATGGCCGCTCTTAGTACTATCGGTTTATATTATTTTACAATTTTAATAAGCTTAACCAAGATGAATGTGTTCAAAGAGATATGAAAGAGGGAAACAAAGAAGAAGATATATAACAATTAAAATCTGATAACAAAATGGAAATGTTCTGCAAAATTCCATTACGTTCACATCCGTTTTACTATCTAATTGTGACCGATTTATTTACCAAACCGATCTTCATTCACACAAACACTTTCGTAGTTAGAGTAGAAAGGGAAGCAAATATCTCTGGGTAAATAGCTAGGCAAAGAATGTTGGGTCAGACACAGATATGAAAACTTCTTGTTGTTCATGTTGCAAAGACCAAGCCGACAAAAACCAATCACCGATATGACGTCGCTGCTTGGGAACGATAGAGGTTTTGCGTATTTATCTTCTAGCCCTGGAATTTTCACATCCTTCATATTTCACTACAAGAAACACGGCGTTTAGAGTCACTTTAATAGCATTAGTTTTAAAAGTGACGTTAGTTAAAACTAATTGACGTTAGTTAGCATCACAATTTTAAATAACGTAACACTCTTTTTATCTTATTTCACCGCAATTATTTTATTTGTTTTTTTAATAAACAAAAAGAAAGTAAAAAATATAATTCAATATTAGATCTGGAAACTTCGTTCTTCGTCGAAATCGATCTCCATCTTCTCCAGTTAATTCTTCGTCATCTTCGTGTTAATCGATCTCCCAATCCATCTCGATCCATCGCCTTCTCCTCAAATTCTTCTTCACCACCTTCAAAATTCATCTCTATCTTCGTCATTTTCAATCGATCTCCAAATCCATCTCGATCCATCGCCTTCTCCTCAAATTCTTCTTCACCACGTTCAAAATTCATCTCCATCTTCTGTGATTCTTATTCGTGACCAGTTTATGCTTGAATTAGAATTTGGAAGAATAAGGTTAGTAAAGCAAGCTGTGATTTCATTGGGTTTTAGTATTGAATTTGATAATTTCAAACTAATGTTCGTTTTTCAATGTTTTGTGTTTCATGTAATTCAATGGGTTTTGACAAATTTGCAGAAGACTTAGCAAAGTGATTGCTCTCTCTTAGTAATTTACAGGTAATTCTATAATCTTCAGCTCCATACTCAACTCGTGATTGCTCTCTCTCTCTGCTCTATGGTCTCTTCGCTCTATGGTCTCTCTGCTCTATGGTTATTAGTATGTGTGGCTTAAATTTGAGGGTTTCACAGAAATGCGTGATTGTTGTTTCACAGAAAAGCGTGAAGGTATAAAGTTTTGAGTGTTTGCTGTGGTGTTTGTTGTTTCACAGATTTGAGGCTGATCAGCCCCAAAAGTTTTGAGTGTGTGGAAATCAAAATCATCAAAGAAGTAGACAAAAGCAGCTTAACTTTTACAAAGGTAATTCTATAATCTTAAGTTAGATGTTTACTTATTGATGTTAGAACGTGATTGCCCTCACTATGCTCTGTGGTATTATAGTCTTGATGTTTGCTTATTTGTGTTTAAAGCTTGATTGCTATCTCTCTGCTCCATCTTAAGTTAGATGTTTACTTATTGATGTTAGAACGTGATTGCTCTCACTATCCTCTGTGGTATTATAGTTCTGATGTTTGCTTATTTGTGTTTAAAGCTTGATTGCTATCTCTCTGCTTGATTGTACGTGAATTTTATTTGATATAACCTTCTCTATGGAAAGATAGTCAACTATTTATATAGATAGTCATATTAGTTTAAAATGTATGAAAATTCTTTTCTGATTTTGTTAGATGAAAACACTTATGATGTTTATTTGATATAAAGCTTCTTACAAGCTTCTTAATTGGTTTGTTTTATTGATAGATTTATTCTGAAATGGATAAGTCTTGGATAACTAAACATCGGTTATCTCAAGATTACATAAGTGGAGTCAATCAGTTTTTGGATTTTGCCTTTGCAAACATGAAGACCTATATGATCAAATGTCCTTGTCAGCATTGCTGCCTTGTTAGATACAAGGTTAGGGTCGAGGTTGAGGGTGGTTTATTCTATCACGGTTTTCGGCCAACATATACAAATTGGTATTTGCATGGTGAAGAGTTAGATTCAAATGGGGAGACAGTTAGATTAGAGTCTGAATCTCGTGTAGATTATACAGAAGACCTGAGTATGAATCTGCTTGAAGATGTTTTCCCAAGTATGAATAATAGTATTGACGATGACGATGCTGCCAGTCCCACAGAGGATCATCCAAGCAGAAGGAGGCGCTTGATGATTTGCTAGCAGACTGTAATCAAGCTCTTTATGAAGGATGTGAGTCTTTTAGCAAGCTGTCATTCATGCTTAAGCTGTATCACATCAATTGTATGTGTAGGATAAGTGACAAAGAAATGTCCATGGTAATAGAGCTCTTGAAAGAAGCATTTCAGCATGCAAAGCTACCAGATTCTTTCAATGACATGAAGAAGATTATTCGTAAGTTAGGATTCACATATGAGACCATTCATGTGTGTCGTAATGATTGCATGTTATATTGGGGAGATGATGCATCTAGACACACATGTAAAGTTTGTGAAAGCTCAAGATGGAAGACGGCTGCAATAGTTGATGATGATGGATCCGCTGAGAAGAAGAAGAAGAAGAAGAAGCAACAAGCTGTTAAAGTTCTCCGATATTTTCCTTTGAAACCACGATTACAGCATTTTTTCATGTCATCAAAGACGGCTGAAAGCATGAGGTGGCATGCTAATTCTGAGAATCCAGATGGCAAGCTAAGACATCCTAGAGATGGAAAGGCTTGGAAAACCTTTGATCAACAATTTCCAGAGTTCTCATCAGAGCCGAGGAATGTCAGGCTAGGATTGGCAACAGATGGTTTTAATCCGTATGGTTCTATGAGCATGAGCTATAGTGTATGGCCTGTGCTTTTATTCCCTTATAACCTTCCTCCGTGGATGTCAATGAAGCAAACATCAACAATTTTGTCAATGATTATCCCTGGGAAGCAGATGCCGGGTAATGATATTGACATCTATCTACAGCCCCTTATCAAAGAATTGAAAGAGTTATGGTCTGATGGAGTTCCAACATTTGATGCATCTTTAAAAGAGACATTTACAATGCGTGCGATTTTGCTATGGACTATTAGTGATTATCCAGGTTTAGGAAACTTATCTGGGTGGAACGTACACACTGGATTAGCTTGTCCATCTTGCAACTATGATGCTAAATATCTTCGTTTACGGCATGGGAAGAAGAATTGTTACATGGGACATAGGCGGTTTCTTCCTGAAAATCATGTTTTCCGAAAAGATAAGCAGCAATTTGATGGTCTTATTGAAACAAGAGATTCTCCCATTACACCATCAGGAAGTGTTATTCTCCAACAAATTCAGAATGTGGATGTTACTTTGGGGAAGAAGATAGATGCTGTGGGAAAAAGGCGCCGGGAAGATGTAATACTTCAATGGAGAAAGAGAAGCATTTTTTTTAGTTACCTTATTGGAAACATCTTCTCTTGCGTCACAATCTGGATGTAACGCATTTTCATAGGATGACAAAGGCAAGTCATCTCAATGCAAGAAAAGATTTGGAAGAACTTGGTATACGTAATGAGTTATGGTCTGATGCAAATGGTAAGTATCTGCCTGCTTGTTTTACAATGACAACACATGAGAAAGAGATTTTTCTTAATATCTTGAAGACTGTAAAGCTGCCAGATGGATATTCTTCAAATATTTCGAGGTGTATTGACATGAATCAACGAAAAATGGTGGGTTTAAAGAGTCATGATTGCCACATATTAATGTGTCAGTTGTTGTCTATTGGCTTGCGAAATGTTTTACCAAGAGAGGTGTCATTTGTTATAACAGAGTTGTGTATGTTTTTTCGGGAAATCACTTCAAAGGTACTTGACATCAAAGATCTGGATAAGTTACAAGAACATATTTCAGTCACATTGTGCCATTTAGAAATGGTTTTTCCTCCATCTTTTTTCACTGTAATGGTGCATTTAACTGTCCATTTAACAGAAGAAGTGAAACTAGGAGGACCAGTTCACTTTCGGTGGATGTATCCAGTTGAAAGGTAATATTTTGTAAATGTTTGATTGAGTTTATACTATTAATATTGATTGAGTCTTGCTATTGATTGAGTCTTTTGCTTTTTATAGGATCTTGGGTCGTTTTAAATCGTATGTTAGAAATAGAGCTCAACCTTCAAGGTTCTATATGTCAGCAATATGTTGCTGACGAATGCATTACTTTCTGCTCTATGTATCTTGAGGGTCTGGAAACACGTTTTAATCGTATTGGGAGAGTGGATGATCACCCTAAGGCAAGACATGAATTATGTTCTGAATCACAGATTCCACATTTTTTTTTCCTTTACTTGGGAGATCAGTTGGTGCTTCTATGTTGGACACACTAAGTCCCTTTGAACGTCAGCAGGCCCATCAATATATCCTAGTCAATAGTTCATTTTTAGATGAATATCGAGAGTAAGATTTCTACTTCAATCTGATTTGGTGTTTTGATGATTTTGTGATTTTGTGGTTCCTTGATTTGGTGTTTATAATGTCATGTAGGTTATTTAAGAGTGAATTAAGAAAATCACAGTCACGACGTCGGAAAAGGGGAACTGTGATAGATATAGATCGGCATGTGCATCTGAAATTCGGTCAATGGCTTAAGCAAAAAGTAGAAAAAAATTGCTTTGATGGTATTTCTGATGATATCCGTTGTCTTGCACCAGGTCCATCTGACAAGGTTTTAAATTTTTCAGCATATAATATAAATGGTTTTAAGTTTAGAACTCTAGAAAGGGATCGTGATTTAAAAACTCAAAATAGTTGATTTTTTGTTTCAGCAGAAACTATTAGTTATGCGAGTTCTCGTGATCTGAATCCTAGAGCTGGGGATGTTTCTTACTATGGAAAGCTGACTGAAATCATAGAACTGAACTACTATGATATGTTCAGAGTTCAAGTGCCAATGGGCTGATACTCGTGATGTTCGAGGATGTAAGAAAGATGATCTTGGTCGCACAATGGTAAATTTTTCCCGTTTGATACACACTGGAAATGGTCAAGACGATGAACCTTATGTGTTGGCTTTACAGGCTAGGCTAGTTTATTATGTAGAAGATCCAAAGGAAAAAGGATGGTGTGTTGTTGTTCATGTCAAACCAAGAGACTTGTATGACATGGGTGATCCCATTGCTTCAGAAGAAGATGATATTATGATTGAAGAGCTTCCTGTTCAAACTGTGTTATGCGATAATGTTCCTAACATTAGACTAGTAAGACAACTAGAAGATACTAAAAATTCTCAGATTTCGTGTGATCCATATGACAATATGGAGGTTATGACTCTGAAGTTTACTTGCTTTATTTTTGCTTTTGACACTATGACATTATGTTTTTGAGACTTATCTTAACAATTTGTTTGCCACTTTTTCAGGTATGAATATGTCTGGAGCTGAAGATTCTATAGCCGCACCTCCTCTTGGACCAGAACTAGCAAGTGGAAAATGGAGAGTTCGTGTCATAAGTTTGTAATTATGATTATGATTCCTTCTTGACTCAAACATTTTTCTTAGAGTTTCATCATTTTTTTACATAGAATTAGATAGTTGACTATCTAATGATAGTGGAATATCATAGTTAGATAGCCGAATAGATAGTTGGCTATCATTTGGTAGTCATATTTCATTTCGTAATTCTCTGTTTTTTTTTTTGTTTTAGATGCTGATGCAAAAATTACAGAGCAACAGCTTTCAGGAAAGGAAGTGTGGAGCATGTGAAACCAACAGATTATGGTTGATTTCAATAGAAAAGGACAGCCTATAAAGGATTCTGGAGGTTTGTTTAGTTCGTGGTTAGGCTCACTGAGTACTGATCTTAATATACTACCTATAAATTACACGGATTGGAGGAAAGTTCCCAACTATAGGAAAGAAATGGCTTGGAAAGTAATTCAGGTAATTTGTTTTAATAATTAAAGATAAAATGACAACTAGTTGCTTCCATTGTTAAGTGTTAACTGTTACCATTTTGATACAGAGGAAATTCTGGTTTGATGACCCGAGAAAGAGAAGAAAATATGTTATATCCGCTGTAGGATGTAGATGCAGAGATTCGAAGCAACATCTTTGGAAGGCTTATAGAAAAAACACTCTACAAGAAGCATTTGATGCACGACCAGGTCTGGTTCCAGAAGACCAATGGAAAGAGTTTGTGGAAATACAATTCACTGATAAGGCAAAGGTAAAACTTCTATAACATTGCTTTGTAATGCTTTCATATATACATCGC